AAATAATCCTTCGCCCACTTCTTTCTGCAAAATTTGCATTGCTCATAAATCCCCTCCACGCTGCACAATCGCGCTGCACGAGCAGAAATCTCAGGAGGGCTAACTTGCTCCCGAGGGCTTCTCTTTCAGGAGATAATCAGTTACACATTGCTACCTCTTTCGGTATTCAGGGAGGAAAACCATTAGGGAAGAGCCCATATGATTGCAATAATGGGGCCTAGAGGTAAGGATTTACGAGTCAGATTCCATACGGACGTTGGGCTTTGCTTATATTTTCAACAGCTGTTCTTCCGTTTTCATGATCTTAGATCATTACCTGGAAAAGGTAACAGAGGGACGGGTGCTCGGGGGAGGAAGAAGCAGTTCATCTTTCGGCATTTATTAATAATTATGATTGCCCAACTCATTATTACATTTAAATGCTGCGTAATGCATAACCTGTTCAGTGATTTATTATAATTGAGCCCTAAGAATATGGTTTTTTTGTGGGTTTTTTTGCAAATAGCTTCCATCGTCTTGAGGTCAAAAAAGACAGTAGGTAGATAGGTAGGTAGGTAGGTAGATCAGTGGTGGGTTTCAAAAAATTTTACTACTGGTTCTGTGGGTTTGGCTTGGTGGGTGTGGCTTGGTGGGCGTGGCAAGGGAAGGATACTGTAAAATCTCCATTCCCTCCCCAATCCAGGGGAAGGTTACTGCAAAATCCCCGTTTCCTCCGATCAGCTGGGACTCAGGAGGCAGAGAATAGATGGGGCGAGCCAATCAGAGGTGGTATTTGCCGGTTCTCCAAACTACTCAGAATTTCTGCTACCGGTTCTCCAGAACTGGTCAGAACCTGCTGAAACCTACCCTGGTAGGTAGGGGTCGTGGTGGCTCAGTGGCTAAGAAAGGTTGGCAGTTCAGCAGTTCGAATCCCTAATGTCGCGTAACAGGGTGAGCTCCCGTGACTTGTCCCAGCTTCTGCCAACCTAGCAGTTTGAAAGCACGTAAAAAATGCAAGTAGAAAAATAGGGACCACCTTTGGTGGGAAGGGAACAGCGCTCCGTGCGCCTTTGGCGTTTAGGGAAGCTGGGACAAGTAACAGGAGCTCACCCCGTTACGCGGCACTAAGGATTCGAACCGCTGAACTGCCCACCTTTTGATCGACAAGCTCAGCATCTTAGCCACTGAGCCACCATGTCCCTTTTGAAGCAACAGTAGAACACTGCAAATCAGTAACACCGAATAGGACAGCCACAACAAAAGAACCAACCAAATAAGTCTGTGTTGCCATAAAAGTCATTTTTGCATTGATGTTTGTGTCATGTATAAACAGAGTTAAGATTAAAAATTGTGGCTCAGGGAATAAAGATGAACCTCAGGCTCTATCGACAGTTGAATGAACTGAGCCGGTGGGTCTTTTCCAAGGCTGGTCCTTCAAATCCCTCCCCTTTGATTAATTAGGTTCAATTTTTGTTTCAGGAGGGACTTCGGCCAACTGGCTGTGCTCCGGATGCTTCCGCCTGCCAGGAGTTTGGATGGCAAATAAATGGCTTTATTAAAAGTCCATTTTTTCCCCTCCTCCAATCCAGAGCCAAATTCCCTCAAGGTGGTCTGTTTGCGTGGGACCTGATCACCAGAGCTTTTAATGAAAAGGACTAGGGGAGACATGATAGCAGTCTTCCAATATCTCAGGGGCTGCCACAAAGAAGAGGGGGTCAACCTATTCTCCAAAGCACCTGAGGGTAGGATAAGAAGCAATGGGTGGAAACTCATCAAGGAGAGAAGCAACTTAGAACTAAGGAGACATTTCCTGACAGTTAGTCCAATTAATCAGTGGAACAACCTGCCTCCAGAAGTTGTGAATGCTCCAACACTGGAAGTTTTTAAGAAGAGATGGGACAACCATTTGTCTGAAGTGGTATAGGGTTTTCTGCTTGAGCAGGGAGTTGGACTAGAAGACCTCAAAGGTCCCTTCCAATTCTGTTATTCTATATTCAGGGCTGAATCAAGCCATCATGAGACCACAAGCCCAAACAAAGGATTTCCAGTTTACCATCTGAGACTTTCTTCTCTTCTCCTCAAGCAGCGGTTAATTCTCAAGTGTGCTTGTTCTTGGTCTCTCTCAGAGGGCTTGCGATAGTAACTTGCAAAATGTAGAAAACTTGAGTGGCTGTGACCTTGAAATCTTAGTGACCAACTAAGGTGGGTTTTGATTTAAGGTGGGAAGTCAAAATCTCCGTAGAATAAATTCATTTAAAAAGGAAAAAAAAAAATCAACTTGCTTTTTCCAGAAAAGAACTTTTCCAACTCCTGTTGAGGATTAATACACAGTAAATCAGGAAGCATATTCGACGGAGAAAATTTCAAGGAAATTATTTGGTATTGCTTGCCTCCTACTGGTCATGGGCAAAGATTAACTGAGGTTAAAAGGAGTTATCAGGCTAGACTCAAATAGTGCTAAAACATACTGATAGTGCAATTGCTACTTTCAAGCATATTCTATAGCCTTCAGTAGCAGTATTTTTACTTTCCTTTCCCCTATTCCCATGATGGCGAATCGGTGGCATGTAGCGCCCTCTCTGATGGTACACAAGCCGTCAGCAAGCGTGCAAGCGTGCCTCCCGCTGGCCAGCTGGTCTTCAGGTCTCTGCTGTGCACGCACTAGGGGCGTGTGCACATGCATGGGGCTGCAGGGTGCATGCCGGGGGTATGTGTTGCACACGCATTGAACGAGTGTTTTGGGCACTCAGTCCGGAAAAGGTTAGCCATCCCTGCCCTATTCCAATTTGTGATAAAGAATAAGGGGCATCTACAGGTAGTCCTCGATTTACGACCATAATTGAGCCCAAATTTTTTATTGCTAAGTGAGACATCTAAGTCAGTTTTGCCTGATTTTATGACCTTTCTTGCCACAGTTAAGGGAAGGACTGCAGTTGTTAAGATACAAAAAAATGGCCGTGACTTCCCAATTGACTTTGCTGGTCAGGTGGTCACAAAAAGGGGTCACATGATCTCAGGACACTGTGACTGTCGTAACTATGAGTTACTTGCCAACTCTCGGAGTTTTGATCACGTGATCATGGGAACGCTGCAAAGTTTGTAAGTGTGAAACATAGTCATCAGTCACTTTTTTCAGTGCCGTTGTAACTTTGAACGGTCACTAAACAAACTGTTGTAAGTAGAGGACTACCTGTATATGGTTATGTGCATAATTTATGAGTGTCTCCATAGAAGTGATCTAATAATATGTTCAATGAACTGATCCATAGTGAAGTATGAATTTCAAGTTGAGTCACAATCACAAAAATGTATATTCTGTTTATTATGAATTCATAAAGATTGCCTTAAAAAAGTCTCAAATTTCTTCCAACTCCAAGTAGAGCTACATTCTAGCAACAGCAGTTCTAATCTCCACAAATATTTCATTTGTACAACTGCCGTACAAAGGTTGAGCTGGTAGGATATTCACTTCTTCATAAAGACACTAGATCTCATTATTTCACAAGTACAGCCAGGATGTCAAATATTTTAATCAGCTAATGGTATTTCCTTCCAGCTAATGGTATAACCTTACTGAAAAAGCATGAAATACAAGTGCAATTGTCTCACACACTAAAACTTTTGGGTACATTTTTTTAAATAAAACCCAGTAATTGTACTACTGCCTCAATATGTACAACATCTGGGTATATGCGAACAAATTAATTGGCACTTAGAAAAATTAATGTGGTGCAGTTGCATTGCAAATGTTACTACAAAGCATTCCAGTGTTTGCCCCCCCACCTCCCCTTTAAGGTGTGTGTGTGTGTTAATAATCAACCAGCAGTTGTGTATTAATTCCACAAGGTGGCATCTGGAACATATATATATATATATATATATATATATATTAACCTAATGTAGCTGCATACAAAACTGAATACAAGGTTGTCTTTCAAACATCAAGATATATTAAAGGAGTTAAAAAGTAGTTTTGCTGCAAATGCACCTATGCTTAGAAACCCACAGTTGAAATTGGTGTTGAGAATGTGTAACAAGGGCATTAAGGTTTGTCAGGCAATGAAAAGACATGCAGTTTTATGTGTCTATGGCAGCTTTGATAGCCGGAAGCCTGTAACAGGCATAAGATCATAGAGAAATGTCTTGGCTGTCAGATTTTGGAGCATTTAGACCAGGGCTGTCAAACTCCCGGCCGGCCCGCGAGTCGGATGCATCACGCACTGGCCATGCTTGGATTAGCGAAGGGGGAAAAAGTCACGATACGTCACGTGATGACGTGAGTTTGACACTCCTGATCTAGACCATCAATCGGTCCATCTTACACAAGATCAGTAGAAGCAGTTTGCCCATCTTCCATTCTCCACCGGATGGGACATGCTGATGTCCGTTTATGAAAGGCACCAGAGCTGCAAATTGCAACCATAAATGCAATTGTGCACTAGGCCATTCTGTTCTAAGGAAGAGCTTTTCAACATTTGAAACAAACAAACAAACAAAAAATCATTTCCTTACATTCTCTGTAAAGTTCCTTATTTTGGAGGACTCCTTCTGGGAATATATCAAAGGGTTCCAGTCATTTTCTTTGCACCTTGGAGTCTTGCAAAATGCCAAACCCAATGCACAAGTACGTAGCAGGATAACCTATGATAGGACTCAGCATAAATAAGCTTTTAGGCTGCAATTGTCAGGTCTGCATGCTTAAATCTAAAGCTTCTTCAATTATCTTATCACTCTTTTCTCTTGCACCATATACAAAAGATCTCCCACCCCCAAAAGCAGCGAGTAAAGTAAAGCACAATATTTTTAATGTGGTCATCCTTTTCCCTCAAACCTTGGAAACCTGTCTAGCATTCTAAATAAATGACACAGCCACAAAAATGATGGGTTTATTAAATATTAGTACAGAAATAATACAGGGTATCATTTATTTTCTCGTCTGAAGAAATTAAGGCTTCACACATGCAATCTGAAAAAATGTCCTAAGCTCTCAGTTGAGACACTCAATAGAGGAGACAATGGCACTCAAACCACAAAATCTTTATTTTTGTTCTTCTAAAAATTGTGCAAGCCAATGCAGAACGTAAGTTTGTTACAATGGCAGAATAAATAAAACCCAAACCTCGAAAGAGGCCGTTCAGGTCAAGATAAAAATCCAATTCAGCTTTCATATTGATTCAAGCGCTGTTCTTTGTGACAATCTCAGCCCCGGGGAAACCAAAAGACGACACTTTGTAATGTCTTGCTTACACACCAAAGTCTGTGCGGACATAGAAAACATGATCTCAAAATGAAATGATTTTCACTTCTGTTGAGTTCCTTCTGCAGGGCAATGGCTTAAAAGTTCATTTTTCACAGTAACCGCTGGAGACCTTTTAGAGCGGGGTATCAAAATGCCAAAATCACGACGGATGAAACAGAAGAGGAAATAGAAAGGGCAAGGAAAGGGACGGGGAGTGATTGCCACGTATGTTTTATTGCACTGCACATTCAAAAAGGGAGAATCTATCACCAGCGAAGACTTTCCCTTCGACTGCAACACCAGGAAACAAGCTGGAAAAGATCATTATATATCAAAACCACCGAACTATATCTCATACACCACCTCTGATGTGATTATTGTAAAAGGGAGACAGTTTCCAAGATTCAGCTGGCCAACAGCTTTCTAGACCCTGTTGTTTTACTCAGATCTCACCTCCACATAAACTTTTGTCCGCATCCTCAGATAACCCAAGAATGACTTTGGATGATGCATGGATGTGTTCCTGTCCTTATTCTCCACACCCTGAAGCTTGTTTTCTGATCGGTATCTCTTTCCGCTGAGTTCTTTCTATTACCGCTCATTACCTGCCCACATTCTTTCATCCTACTGGTCCATCAAGACTGCCATTTTCCACTCAGTCCAAGGCAACTGGAGTTCGACATGTTCTCAAACCCACAATTTCCCAACTATCTTCTGAGTTCCCACGAATGCTCAAAGGAAAAGCAGGATAAGTAGGAACAAGAAGGGCATCCAATCACGAGTTACACAAATGAGAATTAATGCAATGAGTTGGCAACCCTGCTGTGCAATTAGAAACCATTGAAAAAAGCTTTAGAGGCCTAATGACTCTCTCCATCAGTTTCTCTACAGCAAGCTGATCTTAAGAGACATTCAGCACCCACCATCCATCCTGAAGTTGTTATATATATATATATAGCCTTCAGCTACTGTTTTCAAAACGTACCTAAGGCAACGATAGCAGGTTTTCCTCCATACTGCAGAAAAGCTATTGCATCTACAGTTCATAAAAATACTCAATACGACATTGAATACTTCAAACAAGCTAGTAATGTTTTGCCATGTACTGAACAGCAAGTCAAATGATTTAACTACACGCTGGCTCAATATAATCCTTTGAGATGATAAATGTGTGAGTACGGTTTTAAAGCGCAAAACCGGAAAAAAAAAATGCAATGTTTGCCTTCCATTACAGATTTCATTTCCATGGCATTCCCTGAGACAAAAAAATAAGTGCACAATAACAACTAGCAACTGAGGTCTTAAACATGCTGCTATTACATATGGTGTCTATGGGGCACATTTATCCCAAATGTACGATATGCTGACTATTGCCCTCACAATCCTGCTTTGTAGACAGACACTGGAATGGGACAACTCGATGCAGCAAACTCTCCACTGTCAACTTGACATGACCAACTCGACATAACCAAATCACTATGGCCAATTCTCCATGGCCAACTCTCCATGGTCAATTCGCCATGACCAACTCTCCATGGTCAATTCGCCATGACCAATTCACCATAGCCAACTTTCCATGATAAACTCTCCATGGCCAACTCTCCATGCTCAACTCTCCATGGTCAACTCACTATGGCCAACTCGCCATGGGACAATTCAACAATTCAATTAATTAAAATAATTTTAAAAAATATTTTAATTGTTGTCATTCACATTTCATTTTGTCCCTCCTTTGGCATTCTTTAAGGATTCTATTCCACTATTTCTTCAATATTAGTGTAACTCTTGTCCCACAGCAAGTTGGCTGTGGCGAGTTGTCCATGGCGAGTAGTCGTAGACCTGAAGACACTGTCAAATCCACCCAATCAACATACAGTACCTAAAAGTCCCACTGGGCTCATCAACTATAACCATAAAAGGAAGCCTATGCTGATAGCGAAACAGCAAAGAACATCTTGATGGGATTAAACTTGACTCATATTCCCTCAGTCAGAACTGTGGAAGAAATGTATTAGAAGACTGGATTTATTGTGTAATCCAAATTTGCCCTCTCGATGCAGAAGCATGCGAACCCATAAGCTATTACCTAACGGAACACAGAAAGATAATTTAATGGAGTGTTTTTGAATGATCTCTACGATGGCTCTTGAACCGACATGAATTGATCTCATCTCCTGTTTACCACGCTGAATTGCAAGCTGTCAAGAGGGTCTTTTCCCCCCTGTTGCTGGAGGAAAGGAGAATAGCCTCAGACCTTCTGAATCATTGGGTACTTTCTGAAAAATTGACCAAGGCATGCAGAACACATGCTGAAAAAGTTTCCAAAACTCATTTAGAAAAAAAAAAAAAAGGGTTTCAGGATTCTTCCATTATGGAAATCAAGCTTGAAGATAGCAATGGAATTAATGCCTTTCAGGATTAGCTTTGAAGATGGGCGTGTCCATGGAAAGTAAAACATACTGGTTCATCCACACATTCCCAGAAATGACCTTACATCAAACGCATGGAACAGGACTCAGGAAGTTGTGCAAGGGAGGCCATTCCGAGTACCGCTGCAAGGTTGTGAGATCATTATTCTTCCTTTTCCTGGAAGGTACCCATTTGCTACAAAGAAAACAATGAGAATTCTTGGTCCAGGGTGCCTGGACTGATGGACTGATCACCTATATCTGCATGGATACACTCAACTCGGTGATGTTTTGGGTTTTGTGATTTAACTTATTCCAGGTCAACATAAGAAGCAAAAGTCCCTTGATGCCAAAGTCATAAGGCTGGTCTTACAGACACGATGGATACAACTCTGGGAAACATACAACCCCCAAAATATAGTCCTCTTCCTTTAAGCTGTGCAGGATCAGAAGAATCAGCAGAAGGCTCCAGAGGGGATGTTAATCTTCGGACTATGTAAACAGTTTCTCTAAAACACAACCTAAACATTACAATCGCTTCATTTAGACTTTTATTTAAAAAAACAAACAAACAAACAAACAAACACACACACACACACACACACACACGTCCAAGAGCGGAAACACTTTGAGTGTTTTAGCAACACAACACCGCACCATTCCCCCTTTCCGTTAAAATAGCTGCTTCTTCTTTCTAGTTCTTTGATTTCCATACCCTTCGAAGCATCCATTGCCAGCAACAGATGCGCAAGCTGAGAAGCCGACAGCTCCGTTGAGCTTCCTTGGGCCACAGTTCCAGTCCCTGGGAAGAGGCTAATTCCTCACGAGAGTCCTCCACGTCTTACTTGTACAAACTCATTGTAGGGCTCTGATACATGCACATGTAAGCATCGCAAAGGAGCCTCCGCGCACAGCCTTGAATTCTCCTCGAGTCCAGAGAGTGCAATTCATCGAGAGACATTTTCAGATACTCGCCAACTTCTGGGCACGGAGTCACTTGAGGGATGTTAAAACCATTTTGACCTCCTTGGGAGAGAAAAGAAGGCAGGACACGGGATTACCCCAGCAGGACAATAAGACAGCCCAAGCTATGTTGTTCTGAGATGACCACATGTCTATGGATATTCTCAAGCATCCAGGTCATGGCTGTCCCCAAAGGTGCTTTTTTCAAGAGGCAGCTGGATTTTCTGGTTTTTCTTTGAAGACGTTTCACTTCTCATCCAGGAAGCTTCTTCGGGTCTGACTCTTGACGTTCCCCATCATCCAGTCAGAACTGGAGAAGCTTCTTGGATGAGAAGCGAACCATCTTCAAAGAAAAACCAGAAAGTCTAGTTGAAAAAAGCACCTTTGGGAGATGATGACATCTACATGTAATCCCAGGTAAGAAGCATTCTACTTCATGCCAATTTAAACTCCAACCTGTGTCCAAAATTATCCATTATGGAATAAACCACATGAGTTTCACAAAAAGAAAGAGTGCAAAGAAGAGCAACACAGATAATTAAGAGACTGGAGGCTAAAACATGAAGAACACTTGCAGGAACCAGGTTTGTCTACTTTAAGGAAAAGAAGGATAGGGGGTGACACGATAGCAGTGTTCCAATAGTTGAGGGGCTGCCACAAAGAAAAGGGGATCAACCTATTCGCCAAAGCACCTGAAGGCAGAAGAAGAAGAAATAAATTTGAAGCTAATCAAGGAGAGAATCAATCCAGAATTAAGGAGAAATTTCCTGACAGTGAGAACAATTAATCAGCTGTCGGAGGCTGTGGGTGCTCCAACACTGGAGGTTTTTAAGAGACTGGATAACCACTTGTCTGAAATGGAGTAGGGTTTCATACTTGAGCAAGGGGTTGGACTAAAAGGCCTTTCCAATTCTATTATTCTATTATATTGTCTCCTTCAACTTTCCATATCCTGCTACCATCCAATTTCATTTTAGATGTAATTTTTGGAATTCCCTGGCCTTAGTCTACAGCATTAACCTTGCTTTTAACAACAAGGTGCCCTACAATCTGGGGAACATCGACAGGGTTTCAAATGTGGATGCCGTGGTTGAAAGGTTGGGGAATGTTGCTTCAACTATGAGCTGCCTCACGACAGATGTTAAGTGCTAAGTAGTTCATCAATTTAAGGGCCAGGCTAGCAGTTGAAACGTCACAAAAGAGAATACATACCATCCCTATCAGCCATGCTATCAAAAAAGAGCCAAGAGGAGTCTTCCTTGCCATATTTAACAAAAGCCACATAGTGGCTTGTCTCTATACAAAGAACGGCAAAGAGGTCCATCTTCTGACAAGGTATGCAGCTGTGCCTCCAATCCCAGTCCGGTAAATCTTTCGGAAGTGACACTGGATTGAATTTATGACTCTGTCTTTTGGGGTGAAGATGAACCTATCATGGGATGGAGGGAAGAAACATTAGGAAAGGCAATTACATTCTTGCTCATTTCTGAAAGAACCCAGTTCTCACACAAGACAGCAATAAGAAAAACGAGTTCCTAGGGCAGTGATGCCATCGCGTGCCAAAAGCGGGGGGAGTGTGGGGGGCTAGCGCGCGCACATGCCCACGCCCATAATTCTATGCACCCCGCCCGCCCATGCATGTGACCCCCGTACTCCCCCTGCTTTTGGCATGCAATGGCCCGGTGGGCCCGGTAGGTCTGTTTTTCACTCCAGAGCCTTTCTAGGAGCCTGGGGAGGGCAAAAACAGCCTTCCCCACCCCCACCCCCGGTCCCACTGGAAGTCGGCAAACGGGCCATTTCTTAGAAAAGCTCTGGAGCATGGGGAGAGCGAAAAACGGCCCTGCCCCACCCCTCTGGAGGCCCTCCAGAGGCCAGAAACAGCCTGTTTCCTGACTTCCAGTGGGCCCAGAAGACCTGAAAATCAGTTGGCTGGTGCACACATGCCCGCCGGAGTTGAGCTCGTGTGCCCACCAATATGGTTCCGCGTGCCATAGGTTCACCATCACGGTCCTAGGACATTTGGGGAAAAAAAGGGGGAAAAATTACCTGTGTATTGCAGGTTTTGCAAAACTGCTTGATTTTACCAGAGGAAATGTCAGAATCTTCGTAGCATTCCCGACATTCGTACATTGCAAGTCCTCCACAGATACGACACTGCCTTGGGGCTGCATTTTACAAGAGGAAAAATACCCATTGTATTGGATGCTACTATTCTGAATAAACAGAACCCACATCTACAGTTTTTTTTTTTTTTAAATAGAAAATTTTACTCAAAAACTTTTGAGTAAAAGAAAATTAGCTCACTCCATTCGTGCACAGATATTACAAATTTAAAGAATGTGTCCTGTCATATTTGCAAGTTTAGAGTTCTTCTAGATTTTCTATTGAGAATTGAACAGGTGTGGCAGATAGGAAGGGACGGGTGAAAACAAGAGCTGAATGGGGGGGGGGGAAACCTCACAATTTCTCCAGGAATTGTTGGAAAAATTAAGTCTTGTTCATTCTGTGTTGATACGGTGGGCGTGCAACAACACATTCCATCATAATCCTAACAGAATAAATTAGCCAGTAGACAAGCTAGTAAAAGATTGTTTCCTAAAGAGTTAGGATACCTGTATTCTTTATTTCCTAATGGCAGTTAGAACTCGTTTCGTTTAGGAAGTTGAGGAAAAGGTATTATGAACAAAACTGGAGCAGTCTGGAAGTCAACCATTGGTACAGTTCTCCTAAAGTCTGCAATGAAGATTTCAGACCCTGATTATATTTGTGTATCTGCATTGAAACAAGATTTTTAGGGTCCACAGCAACTCCATTCTGCATTATTCTGAAGGTGATTCATTTTATTGATGAAGTATCCAGGTTCATCAAATGTCATGGAATTCATTTCAACTGAAAATGGAGTCTTATTGCGCTATCATGAAGCATATTTAAACTTACTGTCTTCAAGCAGGTCTGTGATATTCAATTCCAGAGAAGGGAAAATTTTGTTGAACATTTTGAAGTCCTTGCCAAATCGAGGCATCTGAATTATCAGACATGATGGGGCCTAGTAAAACCCAACAGAAAAAGGATATATGTTTTAGCCAAGAGACTTCATTCTCTCTGTTTCAGTTTATTAAATCCTGATGCCCCTAATGTAAAGTTAAAAAATAGCTTTCTCAAAAGCAAGGAACCAAACAGACATTAAGGTTTGATATACATATAATCAGTCATACAGATTAGTCCTATCTTTGGCTTAATCTAAAGCAAGGGTATCCAACTAGGCCACTTTTAAGACTTGTGGACTTCAACTCCCAGAATTCTGCAACCTCTGAGTGTTGAAGTCCGCTGGTCTTAAAGTTGCCAAGGTTTGACACCCTGATCTAAAAAACAAGGAAACTAATGGGCCTCCAGGTGATGCTGAACTAGAACTCCCAGAATCTCTTTTCCACTGGTCATTCACACAATGCAGCAGTGAATTTAAGCTGAGGAACATCTGGATACGTTGAGTTCCCTGTCTATGCTTTAATTAATAAATCATTTGCACAATAGCTCAAGCAAAGCATCAAGGAAGTTCTTCTGATATCTACTGAAGAAGCAAATCCCTCATTTGTCATAATGAAGAGTCACCTCCTAATCCAGAGGTCTGCAGCCTTAAACACTCAAAGAGCCATTTGGACCTGTTTCCCACAGAAAAGAAAACACCGGGAGCCACAAAACCCTTTCCATGTCTGACTGTTTCTTGAGCGGCCACAAAACTAGCATATGTAGTTGAATTAAATGTTCTGGTTTCTTCTGAAACTTTTCTTTTCTTGGATTTATCCATGGTTGGCCTACCAGGCATTGAAAAGCTCAATAAATTGCGTGCCGGCGGGTGTTGCATATTGGTGGTTGTGACACATATTTTGAGTGACAGGGAGTCACAGCCGAGGGGTGAAAGAGCCACATGCGGCTCGAGCCAAGGGATGCTGACCCCATCCTAATCAATTAAGATTTTATTGAACTACTCTGGAGACACTTGCATGAGCCTCAGTGGTGCAGCAGACTAAAGTGCTGTTAAGTGCTAGCACTTAGCTGCCAGCTGCCTGCAATTAGTGCAAGTTCGAATCTCACCAGGCTCAAGGTTGACTCAGCCTTCTATCCTTTCGAGGTAGGTAAATTGAGGACCCGGATTGTGGGGGCAATAAGCCAACTTTGTATAGAACAACACCGCTTAGGGGGGGCTGAAAGCTCTAATAAGCAGGTATATACAGAAAAGTATGCAGGCTATTGCTATAATGCATTATAAGCCGCCCTGAGTCTATGGAGAAGGGTGGCATATAAATTGAACTAATAAATAAATAAATAAATAAATGCTTCAGCTTCTCAAAAGCTGAACAACCCCAGCCAGCAAAATGCGCACTGATGGGTAAAACTATAAAAAGAGGAAACTTTCTCCAAACCTCTGCAAATTTCAAATTGCTGTTGATGAAGGACCATTCCAGTAACTGCTGTATGGTAGGCACTCCAACTTTCTCATTCTTGTCCATAAAAATCTGATAGAAATAGCAGTCTTGGACTTTTTGTCCTGCCGATCTAAGAAGAGAGACACAAGTGTATTTGACAATGGGGACGCTTCACATTGATTTAAAGAAGTACAATCTACTACTACAACCAGATTTGTCTTCAGGGTTACAGCAGAATCCTGTAGCAATAGATTCCTGCATCTGGAAAGAAGACAGATCACTTGGATTTTCCTTTCCAAACCTTTAGTTATAAATATAAGAATAAATTATTTATTCATGTATTTATAACAAATAACACACTCTGCTAGAGAAAAGTTCCCTGGAGATGGGCTCCAACACCCATCTAAAAGCTCGGAAAACTAAGCCTCTGGTTTCAGTGACCGACTCAGATTTGATTCTGGAATAAATTATTCCCTAAACGGATGAAGAGGTTATTTTAAATAGCTGATATGTACCAGTCTGTGAACTATTGAACTTACATTTATAGAGAGAGACTGAGTCTATAGATAAGTGCTGCAAGTTGTAATTTAGCAATACTGAGCTGACCACAAGTTATCCACACCTGATGCTATTATAGCAGATACAAGATTGAGACATAACTGACATTTATCAGTGAAGTTAAGTAAGCAAGATGAAACAGCAATAAAAGCTTTTGAAATATCCCCAAGTTCTCAAGATAAAGACATAGCTAAATGTTCATAGTTTACAAAACTAAACACAATTAAAAGTAATGAAGATGCTCGCACGGTGTTCCCAGCTATAACTTTTTTAAAAAGTTTTTTATTTTAAACACATTAAAACAAACACAAAACAAACACATATATACATATCATTTTTCCGTTGTTAACAGCTCATTTAAGGTGATTCTTTCTTATTATTTACATAATAATAAGGGAACTGAAATAATACTGTATTGTTTATTTTTGTGATAATATTGCTTGAATGTGCTGAAGATCAAAGTAAAGAGAAGTTGACATAAAGGGAATTGGATTATATAAGTAGATTGAGATAAAGTTAGAATATATGTAAATAATAAGAAAGGATCCCAGCCGTAACTTTTTGTTGGAAATTATCCTCAAGATTATAAATTATAGATAATAAAATAACTTTTGTGACTTCAACATTTCTCTTGTGTGAGCCAAGGACCATATTTACCTTATTTTTAAGAGTGGTTCTACTCTTAAAATATGATGAAACAAAATATTCAAAAATTCTTCTGGATCTGGAAAAAAAAAAAGACAGTTTCATCAGGATATCAAAGCACAGGCAACCAAAAAAATAATAGCAAAAATACAAAGTTACAAAACACTGCCAGAAACCAAATCTCAAAACTTGGTTTTAATAGCAATTAAAAATGTGAATTCTTAACCACGTAACTGGAATGATCTGACACTTGTCTTTAATCATTTTAAGAATCTGCAGATGTAGAACTTCATTAATCTGTTATTTTAAGCACAGTCTTTAAAACAAGGATGGGCTACCAAATGAAGATAAAGGGATTAGGGTGGTGGTAAAATCTTATCTAGACTTATGTTTAATAATATGATACATCCTTTCAGTTCTTCCTCATTAACAATATTACAGAATGAACTTACCTTTTTCTTCAGATGTGAATCCTGACGCTGCTTCAACTTTTTCCAGGACCTTTCTCAGCTTCATTATTTTTGTGGCGCACACATATCCATATCTAGAAGATAAAAGATGAAAAGTCTGAAAAGGCACATCGAGCCCCCAAGAGGCAGAATCTGAAGAGGCAACATGGTCTGGAATATTATCTACAACCACTTGATCTGCCGCCCGCAAACCAAAAGGAGAAACAAGCAAAAAGAAGTAAAAAAAAAAACTGTTAAAAACTGTAGAAGGGCCAGAAGTAGTCAACCAAAGCAGGGGTTTTCAAGCTTCTTGTTCCACCTTCCAGAAACCATTTCAAACATCTTCCTCTTTGCAGAAGAAGCTTTCAATATTTCCCACCGAAGCTGGCATGTTATCACAGGTCGCTCATTTGTACTTACATTCGAAGAGGATTTACTATCTCTGTCCGTAGCAGTTCTTGAGTTTCGCTGTAATATTCTACATCATTCTTCTCTTTGGGCCGAAGCAAGACTGTATCCAAAACAGAACTGAATGCAAACAGGCTGAAAGAGCAGGGAAAAAAATACATTTCAAACGGGAAAGGGGACAGGGGGGAAAGAAACCACCTTCAGGTTGAGAACTGTCCCAAAATCTATTGCAGAAAGAGATGCTTTTAACGGATTCTGTGAGATTCTGACAAATATCTGTTTCCAGGAACAGCATTTATGTTTTGGAAGAGTGTAATCTGAACCTTACCAACAGCTAAGATCACCATGTTTAAGTCGAATTTGAGACAATTTTGCCTTAGAAAAGAAAATGTGAGCCATGCCAAATACCAAAGGCTCAATCAGCAGAGAAAGAAAGAGAAAGAAACACTTGAACAGAAAAAAATCCAGGACAAGAAGTAGTTATTAATTTTGATTGTGTCTTAAACATAAGTGCCTTTCCCAGACTGTAAACTAAACTCTGGGCAACTTACACGGTTAAAAGAAATCCCTAATATACACAGTATTCCTCACTTAATGACTACCCTGTTTAATGACCATTCAGTTATGAAGGCACTGAAGAACTTCTTGTAGTCCTCACATATATGACCATCACAGTATCCCCACAGTCAACTGATCGCATTTTGGGCATGTTACAAAAATATCATGCACATGCTATTAGGTTCACGTAACTTCGTTGAATTTTTAAAAATGCATATCATTGTGTTTTCTTCATCTCAGGCTTGAAATGCAGTTATTTCTTTATTTACCAGAATAAGGTGGAATCTAAGTAGCAGGAGTTATAATGACCCTGGATCCCCTTTTTCTTTCCAATCATTGTTTCCAATCCTTCTTTTTCCATTTTTGGAGGAGTGTTTTCTTCAACCACTTCGCTGAGATAGCCTCCAAAAGCTGAAAAACAAATCAGGAAATCAAAGCTACATCTGTATTCTTTCATAATTCCACATTAGAAACAAGCACAATGGAAATATCAAAAGCCCAATACGAAGTCTAGTGAAGTCACAGATCCACCCATTTCTCCTTTCTTGTGACCAGCATTGTTTTGACAGAAACACGTACACTTCTCACAAACGTGCACATATATACAGCCAGAAGCACACACACACACACACACACACACACACACACACACACCACACACACACACACACACACACACAGAGAGAAAGAGAGAGAGAGAGAGAGAGAGACAACTTCCTTGATCATTAGAAATGGTTTTCCCCCCAATTCAGAATTAAAGCAAAGCTGTACAGAGAGAGAGAGAAAGATAGACCACACCTAAGGAATTGCAACGTTCAATCTGATTAGACACCGGCTGCAATGAAGCAAATCTGGAATCAGGTCGACAGCTCTTCAGTTTGACAAAAAGAGCTTTCTTTGGTGCGCAGGTAAAGTAACGAGTCCCTTTAAAGGTCCCATCGGTGCAACCTGCACATTCATCTTCCTGAAAAAACAAATGAGAAATTTGCACTTCTCGATCAATGCTCACACCAATAGAAACTGTAACGATACGAGACACTCTCCTCCGTATAACCTTACACTTCCCAACTCAACCCTCGAACAGCACACTCACATCATCCACACAATTTCTGACAAAACTACAAAGCTTAAATGTGGCTCCTGGTGAGATCACGGTCGCTTTTGATGTAGTGTCCCTATTTACATCCGTCCCTCTCCACTTAGCACAATGGGTCTTAGAACCCATTGACCACACATGACCACAATTTCAGACATTTTTCCTGGAAACCAGCATTTATTTCCCCCAAAAATTGCCCCATAGCGAACGATGGGTTCACTTAACAACGGCTGCAAAAAAAAGTTCATTAAAATCGGGTCTGATCACTTGGAGACCTACGTTATGACCATCATGACTTACAACCGTAACTGCAGACTCAATTACGGCCGTAACTCGAAGACTATCCGTATATCAGAATTCTGAGCTGGCTTCAGCCTGGCAGTAAGTTTTCACCTGGCCTGACGTCAGAGTCAAGCTGTAGCCAGGAAATTAAAGAGAAAGGCAATAATGAAAAGATCCTGCAGGGTTAGAGATGGACAGGAATTGCCCTCACAGGTTCTCAAATCTGACAGTAATTACCAGTTCAAGCCCAGCTAACACTTCGTTGACCCCTGGCGGCTGCCCGATCCAACGGATTACTCCGTAGAAGGGTGGGTTTTCTTTCACTTCTGCTAAAGAGCCAGCTTCGAGGCCATGCATGTTGATGGGGGCTACAGTGGCTGGTGGGCTCTCCTGGGTTGGCCCGGAAGTCCCTTCTCCAATAACCGACTGAACAGATAAGGAGAGCGGGCTGTGTGATATAGAACTGTTGGTGGTGCTTGACATCTTGGTTAGGCTGAAAGGCAGGGAATGGAATCTGTTTTCGGAAGATAAGCTATTTGACGGGGCAGGCTGCAGCGGTGGGGAAGAATTTCCAAAGCCAGAAGAGGAGTCGTTGAGTGATTTTGCAGAATCTTCAGCCACTGTTGAATTGGAGGCAAGCAAAGAAATTGGCACAGATTACAAATGGCAACTTTTATTAAGGTACCTGAACTGATGTAATGCACTTTTCCCATAAAATGAGTAAAACGTGCTGGAATCTCTCTCTCTCTCTCTGACTAGATTCTATCATGTAAGAATAAATTGCTTTAAAACAGCTCATTGGCACTTGCTAAGCACAATGAGCTAACAGGTAGATTTTACTAATACTATAATCAAGGACTATAACCAAGAATCTGAGCTTCTGCTATACCAATCAGCAAACTGAATAAAATTTCATAAATAATTATTACAAAGTTTCTTAGTGATAGATTACAGCAGGTGACAGCAATTCCAAACTTGGGTGGAAGAAACTGAGATCCTGGACTCATTCCAAGTTCATACAGAATATCATGTGAGCTTAATACATTCTCCAAATAAATTGGGTATTGTCCCTCAAGTTTTCTCAGACTCCTACGCTCTATGGCAGCTGGGCACAGCAGAAAAGCTGATGTGACAACAAAAAAAACCCTTGAGCATGAAAACCTTTGAAGCCACAATTCCATCTTATTCAACACATTTAAAGACTATTTAATATTCAAGAGTTATTGTGTATTTTGTGTCAGCTATTTAAAAAAATGAGGTTTATTGGTCAACTTTAAGCTATTTGCTTAAAACTGCTATTCTAGATTGTGCAGGCTAGGGAATTCTGGGAGTTGAAGTCTACGCATCGCATAGTTGCTGGGAAACAGTGCTCAAGATCTTAGTCATCGGGAAACCAAGATTTACCGGGAAACAAACATGAAATGTACACCTCTCGTGAATTCATACAATCAGTGGCGGAGAGGCCCTAAAGGACACATTCACCAACTTGTCTCCTGAAGACACATAAATAAATCATGAGTCAAAGCTCAGTGCATGAGGTCACAAACTGGTATAATAGCACATTACTATTTATAAGCCTCTTGCATGCTCTGCCTGCAACCCAACTGGTTTAATAAAGAGAATAAGATCAAGCTGTCATGCAATGTTGGGCATTTTCTACCACGACTGAGAAATTATCATAAAACCTGGGCCGAAGGAAAAGTCTTCAGTTATCTGACAAACTACAGCCATGAACGAAGGAACTGGGAGTTAACCAAGAGAGATTTAGATTTTCCACACCCTCTTAAAGACATGTGACTGCTTCTACGAGGAATTGCTTAAAAAAAGTCAAGGGCAACTTTTAAAAACTGTTGGTGATAAGTTGCTGAATCCAATGAGAGTGTAAAATAATTCCTCTGAGGTTGTGGAAGTAAATAGTGGATGATGGACCATGCCAATCTTGACTCAAAGCAGCAATACAAGGAAAGTTGTGGTTTGAAGAAAAAAGAAGGATGCATCAAAGCACATCCAAAAATATAGGTCAATACAGTTGTCAGAATTCTCTGCATCATTAGTGTCATATTTTGTTACTACATCTGTGATCAAAATCCAGTTTGTTACCTTCATCAATATACCATGTATTTTTTGATTTTGGCTGTGCTTGAGAATCTACTGAGGAGCCATTTAAAGCGTAGAAAAATTCTGTTCTGTTTCTGTTTCCAGGATCAGAGAGTGCACCTGAAAAACAGGCCATGTCAGAAGGGAAGAATATACACAAGTAAGCTTTGATGTTGTTAGCAAAGTCTGTAAAACTGCTTCAGAGCTGTATGACTTTTATGGAAGGAACACAACTGCAGGTTGTCTGGTCCAATCGCTACAATGCTGCATGATTTCATGCGGTCCCAACCCTTTAACAGAACAGCTCTGTTCTCAGCTTACATTTCAAGCTATACACATAGTACCCTTTAGAAAGCAAAGCTACATCAGGTAACAATTCTGTTTAAGCTTAACGAAACTGCTTTCTCAATAATGTCTGTAAGATTAATACCACGTACGGATCACTGATTTCAGACTTAATATTTTAAAAGAAATGAACATCAGTAGGTTATTTAAAATTACATGCCACCAAATCCCCAAAACTCATAACCAACATTTTGAACATGAGAGATATGAAGTGTTTAACTGTAGTCATTGTAATACTAATATGCAAGGCAGAAACTGCCTATATCCAGTCTTGTTCAGTAGACTGGAAAGATCCACTGGTTAAGAATGGTAAAGCCAAAATTTCTTCACAGATTGCTTCGCATAACTTGGGATAACCCTAGAAATATGCCCCTATGTGAAGGTTCTCATGATTCCTGCTGGAATTTGGACAGCCTTTTGCAATACATCTAACCCTTCGACATAAACCCCTCTTCTTGCTGTTTTACAGATGACATTCGTAAGTGAGGAGCAATTTGGCTCCTTGTATTCCACCGGAAGGATCAAGCACAGGAAATTCAAGCAGTGAACCTAGAGGGTTCAAGGGAAAATGAATATATCCATTTCCATTCCTATCTATCTATCTATCTATCTATCTATCTATCTATCTAGCTAGCTATCTATCTATCTATCTATCTATCTAGCTAGCTAGCTAGCTAGCTAGCTAGCTATCTTACCTCTCTCTCTTACCTATCTGTCTATCTATATCTATTTCACTTATCTTTCATCCAACCATCCTAGGAAGTCCTTTAAGTATCACTCCGAGGACTCCAATCATAATTGGTATAATAACACATTTATTTTTCCATATATACAGATATCAATTAAAATTGCTGATATGCTCAAACCTTTATAAGGAACACAATAAAGTACACATTAAATATCTTCACTGATGTTGATGGAGAGGCTGTTTTAGTAGTCAAACTTGCCTTTAAATAGCAACATAAGGAGATTGCACATGGCAATCCTCGTTTAAGAAACAACACTGTAAGTTTCGCTGAAATGTCGAGTCAAAGTACCTGTAGACTTTGGCTTGCTATGACCGAAGGTTTTGTCACCACCACCTCTGGAAGTATAAGCGAGTTTGGGAGGTCTCCTGTCCTGAGACACAGCCTCTAAAACAGAGCAGAGTTTAGATATTTCACAAAGTATAAGAGCACACTATACAACAATATAATGTATTAGTTTCAAAACATTAATCAAAATAGGAAACACATTAGACATTCCTCAGGAGGGCTGAAAGTCCTGACATATAAGATTTTACATGTAGAAATAAGCCAAACTGTAACATGATACCTCAATTATAATACCTGTCATAATGGAACTATAATATAAACTACAATTCTCTAGGACTGATGTGGAAGTTTGTTTTAAAAAACTTGGTGAATGATTAAATATTAAATAAGGACTTTCTCAGATGGCCATTGTTGGAACAGTTTGTCAGACTAAATAAATCTTTACACTAATCCATCTGAGCAATTCTAATGTTTTTTACACCTATCTGCATCTCATCTCTTTCAAATTCAACCAATGAACCCTTAGGTTCAGTTTACACCTACAAAGCTTCTGTCTTTGTCCTGACCATCCAAAACGTAAGCCTCCTAATCCAGCTGTCCTTTCCCTAGAAATATATGATCTGCTGGTTGCAAAGACTGCTCACATATTTCAGTTTCCTTGGCAATGCAGCCAAGTAAATAGTTTCATCGCCGAGTTTGAAAAACCATGGAAGGGCCGTCTAGTAACGTAAGATTCTTGCTAAGCAAGTCAGCTAATCTCAGTAGATCCTGTTCAAGTCACTATATTCCTCCAGTGCAAAGTGGTTGACTCATGCGTGCAGCATAGGGGTTACAGTATTATTAAAGCTTTGTGAGTAGAAAAACTGGCACTCTAATAATATGGAGAAAAGAACAGATTGCCTGTGGTTCCAAGCCCTTCTCACAAACACCAATTCTTTCATCAGAGCATATGTGGGCATCATTTGAACATATTCCTTTTAAAGGAAGTGTAACAATCCCATAATCCAATACACAAACGCTGTACAAAAAAACAGAATCATCTGGAGAGTCCTTATGCAGTATTTCTTACAGTTTTTAAAGTGTTCTTAACTAGCCTTTAAATCACTATGCATAATTATTCACGAATGTGAACTGCAGCCGCATCGTTTCCATTCAACACTGTTCCAGTTGCCTAGCCCACACACTATCCTACTAAACAAAAACAATTTCTCAAGTAGAAAATTCACTGCCAGATAATGAGGCTTTCAGTCCTCAAGCTTTATCATCTGGAAATAGTTGAGAAGGCCAGCATCCCATTAAGACAAATATATTTGCCTTACAACGGTTCCTTTAGTGACTGTTCAAAGTTACTGGGGAAAAAATGACGGTTTTTCACTAACCGTTGCAGCATCCCTATGGTCACGTGATCAAAATCCAGATGCTTGGCAAATGACCCATGTTTATGACAGCTGCAGTGTCCCGGGGTCATGTGATCCACCTTTTGTGACCTTCTGACAAGCAAAGTCAATGGATTCACTTAACAACCGTGATACTAATTTAGCAACTGCAGTGATCACTTAATAACTGTGACAAGAAAGGTTGTAAAAAGGGGCAACTCACTTAACACCTGTCTCACTTAGGAACAGAAATTTTGGGCTCAGTTGTGGTCGTAAGTCACGGACTACCTGTAATGCATTGTTGTAGCATCTCTTAATGAGTTTATGAAGAAAAAACACATGACATTTTAAAGATTCTGAAACATTTCCAGAATTAAAAGGAAATGCACATTACCAAAAAAACCCAACACCAAGTAATACTGAAACTTCTTTTGAGAATGAACTGCAAAAGGCCAAATTTTAATCAAATCTAAAACCAGAACCAGACATTAATCAACCTGCTAAAATCTGGAAATTCTTCTCAAAATCGAAATAAAATATTACCTGGGATAACATCATTGATATGCAAAAGAAGTGTACTTTCAACACTTGCAAAACTACAGAGCTGTTGTCCATTGTATCTTCCATCCCAATTTCCAATTGGATTATCCTAAAAAGCATTTTATAACATGTTTATCCTTATAGCTTAAGAGAACAGCTGAATTATATTCAAGAAAACCAGGATGTTACTAAAATTTGCAAAGGCTATGCAAAGCTAAGGTTGAAAGCACAAACCATCACAAAAAAGGCAGATTCTTGTAATACTGGCAACCCACTTCTCACAAACATAAACACAAAGGATTTGTCTACTAATAATCATATGTCACTATTAAGAAAAAACTGCCAATTATTGAGGTACAACCCAGTTTGTAAGAATTAGAGAAGTTACACAAATATAGCCATTCTCATTGGTTACCAAGGAAATAGAAAGGTTGAGGAGAAAGTTAACTGTTTTGATCTTTCATAGTTCTAAGTGGAACCAAGTGAGGCTATCCAAGCACAACCCATTATATTCAATGTGCAAACAGCATTTTGCTACATCAAATACCTATGGATATTTTGCCAAGTAGAACATTTGATTTTAGTATTTTTACTTGAAAGCTATTGTATGTTTCCCAATTATAGAAACAAACTTCAGGACAAAAGTGAGAACAGCAAGTATTATTGAAGTGCTCTTGAGCATTACAAATTAAGAGGTGGAATTCAAATTCATCCCGAAGGGTCTTTTTATATTCCTTCAAGAGGTTAAAACCTACATACATTGCCATTTTTCTCAGAAAAGAACTGAGTTCAATAAAACATGCTTATCATTAGAATCAAGGACAATAATTTTTTTGGGGGGGCAAGTCATTTTGAACAATAAGTAAAGCCTGTTAAAATCATGTGTAATCTTGTTCATTGTTTGTTGCCCAACAAAGTAATACTGTACTGTAAGATTCAAATGCCCTAGAGGAGATTCTCTGGTGCTATAATATAATCCAAGAAGCATGATTATCCCCCCCCCCTCCAAAGCAAATTAACATACATTTTATCTGATACTAAAAAATATACTAGTGTGATTTACACATGGCAACAACTGCCATGAGTAGCTTTCAAGGATTCCACCAACCAGCAATATTGCATGTACTATTTTAAACACACATGCAAAAAATCATAAAAATCTTAATTTCTTACCATGTCCACTCCAACAACGTATCCTAAACTCTCGTTTCCTGGTATGACATCACAGAATATAACTGTCCCATACTCTATATTCTTCCCTATCTTCACAGAAACCCTGGAGTTGAGCTCCAAAGGAGGAAGGTCTACCTGCATTGAGTCAACTGGAGCTGCATAGTCATTCTCCAGTTCATTGTCATCATCTTCCATCAGTTCTAGTTTGTCTAGTGCAACAAACACTCCACAGTCCTCATCACATCTGAACAGCTGTTTGCCTTGGTACTGTCCATCAGTAAAGCCCTGACCACGACCTTCTTCCTGTATTTACAAAAGGAAAAGAAAAATGAATTGTGAAGTTCAGCCAAATATTGAGCTGAGGAAGGCCCCAGGTTTCATAACCTTGATAGAAATTACAACTCACGGGAAGACCTTAGATTAGGGAGGCCTGTTTCGCGCAATGTGCTGAACCACCATAAAAGAGTTTATTTTTAGCTTAACAAACTGCAGGAATCCAGCAAATGAGAAATTGAAATTTATGCAAAGCTATTCATAATAAAAGCAACTCATGTCTGGCACGTAGACATTCTCTCAGCACAGCCTATTTCAGCTACGTTGCAAGGATAAAATGGTACGGAGAAACATCCCACACAATCCATCAATCCTAAAAGGAAGAGAGGGGTACAAATGTAATGAATGAATTAAACCTAATGCTTTGCAGGTTTTCAGAATGGCACCCTCAACCATACCAGAAAGTATGTTTCACCAATGTACATGTTGTGGCCCACCAGTGGCCAGCAGAGCTGGCAGCAGATTCAAACAGTGAGGAGGTTAGGGAGGAACGTGGGCCAGTCCTGGAGTCTGGGGAAGGCTCGGATGATGGCCTAGGCCATCTAGTAATTCTTTGCTGCTTCCGGAGTCTCCGGAGTCTGACATCAGTGAGGCAGAAGAACAGTGTGACCCTGTTCCCAGTGTGCGCATGCGCAGAGCTGCCAGGAGACAGAAACAATTAAGGAAACAGGGTCGACTTGGGAGTAAGGCTTGGAGATGATTGGCCCCTCCCATAAGACATAAAAAAGAAGCGAACGGGACGTGAGCTTTTGCAGGAAGCAATTAGTTCATCTGGCCGATTCAAGATTTGAAAATTCTGGTTGTGACTCTGGGCCAAGTTTGGCTTTGCCCTGCGTCTGGAAATTAGCTCTTTGGTAGCATTCCACGTGAGATAGGTGGGTGTTGATAACCTTCCTCTGAAAGGGAGTTTATCAAGCCTTGCAGACTGTAAATGAAAGTAATTTACAGCTGTATGAATTAAAGAGGTTTGCCGGGACTAAGTTTGTGCTGTTTACTTTCTAAGGAAGCCTAGGTCAGAACAGTACATTAAAAAAAGAAAGAGAATCCTTACCAGAAGCTCCACCCCGAAAAATATACCCGACAGAGATCTCTCTTGCATTAAGGGTCCTCTAAAGCGAACTATCCCAGGGTATTTCTCTTCTCCTGATCTCAGCTGCACTTTCACCGGGGAACCAACATCGATGTGGAGACCCTTACGCAGCCTGCTTCTGCTTTTAAATATACTGTATCTTTCCTCACAATTGGTGATGGCCAATAGTAGCTCGGCTCGCTTTTCATCTATATCGACGACCTCTTTCTCATCAACATACAGGACCACGTGTGGCTGTTCCAGAATCTTGATTCCTATTTGCAGCTTCTTGCTTTTGGATGAAGGGTTGTTCCTGATGTGCCCACCAGAAGACCTGTCTTGAATAAACTGACCAATACTACCTTTAGGTATTTTTAATAGCTTCTGTGTCTGCTTGTCTATAATGCTACATTCCTGGAGAAGCAAATAAAATATACGCTCTTCCCAATATGGAGAGGTCGCTTTCTCTTGACTCCACAAACCCGAAGTCATTGTGGTTCAAGCTTTGTATAAAGATGGAAAAGAAGACTCTTCAAAAGAAACTTAAGTTGGCAGCATAACTGTAAATGAGGGCTTTTTTTTAAAAAAGTTCCAGTTCCAATAATGACTTAATTTTCTTCATCCATGTCCTAATGAGCTAAATCCAGAATAGATGACCTGAAGCATAAAAATAAAGGGAAACATCATTAGAGGTTAAAGGATACCATAGTAAGAGTAAAGGACAGGAAAACAAGACACTTTTGAAAGCAAGCATCACCACTGATTTTTATAGACCTATGACAACATCCAGCTGGCAAGAATGAGAACATGTTTAGATAGCTACAAAGGTCATGCTGAAGAATTTCTCTGCACAATAAAATTGACTGACTAATAGATTCATCATCACACCACCGCCACCACAAAACTGACCATGTAGGTTTTATCTTTGCAATCTTTATTAATATCTTGAACTGAGTGGACAGCTGCTCTCACAAATAAGAGCTTTTTTCCCTCTTTTAGTAATCAAAACATTTTTGAATTTTCTGGGGAGAAAAATAAAGGTAACGCAAGACTTTTGTTAATCTCACAATCTGACTATAGAGGAAAAATTACAAAAATACATGTTTAGGTAGTACTTAGAATAACACATTTTTGGCAAATATGGTATCATGGATATTTATGGAAATATCTGAGTGGCAGCACGTTTATAACCTGATTCAATCAAAATAATCTCTTAAGGAAGATATGCTTCCAAATAAAAATCAAGCTAAATAAGATTAGACAAAGAAATCTGTAAAGCTATTAAGCAATTGGAAAGTCATCAATGCACTTCATAGTTTATTTACCAATAGAAGTCAAGATGCAAAAGAAGAATCACATCTGTAATCATTTGGAATTGAGGCGCTTGATCATTACCTAAAATAAACTCTACAAATCACTTGATTTTTCTTTCAGTTTAAGTAGAACTACCAATAATAATACATTATTATACACCAGCATTTCACAAAAGCAATATATTTTTTTTCTTAAGTATGCAAACAAATGGAAGCATCCCCTCAATCTTGGGAATAGGAATAGAAAGAAAGAAAAGAGGTAACTAAGAATGGAAGACTTTTCAAGGAAAGGCTAGTGTTATTTTCTGAAAGCCTAGGAAAGTACATAGACTTAAAACATCAGTAATTAACAGCTGCAACAAACAACCAGCTTCCAAACTTCATTAAAAGAAGTAACCTTAGGGTTTAATGTTTGAACCAAAGATCAATATAGGAATTGAAACAAAGGGTTCAGTTATGAGCCTGGGAGGCAAAAGAATGGTTAAAAATAATAGTTACTGCTTTTTCCTCCACGTCAAGCACAACTATTTAAATGATCCAACCACATAAGGAGGGATGTAGAAGTCAGGTTTGTTTCGTTTCGAGTGGTTATTTTATTTTCATAAAATTTTACGGATTTTATAGAGTTGCAAAAACCACCCAGAATCTGTACAAAATTGACGGTATAGAAATGCTATGAACAAATAAGCGTCCACAAATAACAACTGAGGTTCAAGTGCACCTTTCAAGACTAGTCTATGGTGAAAAACTACCATTACCACACACCTGAACCAGAAAACAATAATTTAGAAAAGACAAAATAACAAATATAAAACTCTGGTTTCTTCCCAAAGAACTATTAACCAAAGTTTTACCTTTAGTGTGGGGAAAACTGCAGCTCACTGCTAACTTTGTGGTTCAGTATGACTTACACAAAGAGACTCCATGTGATCATAAGACTTCCATATATAAGACTTCCATATATTTAAGATCACTAAATTAAGACATGAACCACTTCAGTCTGAAGTTTCAGTCTGAGCAAACCAGTCGCCCCATCCTGGCTTATGTTGCAGAGACAGTTTCTAGTCCACAAAGGCTTCTGCCACAACACAGCTGCCCTTTTGTGCAGGCTAACTCACAATGAAGCAGGACTGAACTTAATAGACTTTATCCCAGAACAGGCATGATCATGACTCCCCTATAAATCTCTTTCTGTTATGTGATATTGTGACCTCAGTATTTGTTTTCTGATTGCAAAAGACAAACCCAAGAACTCTGCTGAAGTAATGTAAGTACTATAAGAAGAAATAGTTTTATAATATAGACATGCACACACACACAAAAACCCCACTGTTCTCCAGAGTAAACATTTTAAAAGGGCAAAACCACAGAACCTTTGTCTGTTTTTAAGTATAAGATATCCATAGAAAAGTTAACAACTTTCTGAGGGAAAAATCTTAAGATCCTGCCTGGAAGTAACCAAGATCCCTTTTTTGTTTCACAACCCTGAAGAAAACAAATCAAATGAAAAATGATGTGTGTTTGGCTGGCATAAATACATACATACACACACATATACATATATATTTATACATATATGGTACACATATGGACAGATACCGGCACACGGGCACACACACACACACACACACACACACACACACACACACACAAACTGTCAACCTGCCCAGCACAAAAGAAGGCTCCCTAAATGAGAAAGTGAAACCAGAAACGGAAGACAAGGGGAGGAGGGAGAAAACTTTTTCTGAAATTGTACACAAAGTATATCCCAAACATTTTAAGGAGCTCCTTCTATGTCTCAAGCACAGAAAGGTATGTGTGTGTTTATATAATGGAGAAGCCAAGCTAAAGGAAAAGAGTCAACGAGGAGGGGGAGCAGCTGCCAGCACCATCATAACAATTTGAAGAATTACTTTGCCAACTAATTGCAAGAAGGCGAAAATTCAACATGAAACAAACAGCAAACAGTCGCCTTTGTAGTGAAAAGGATAAAACAACTGACTGTTTGATCAGAGGCTGCAGCAAAATTTCACAAACTAACCTCAAGCAACCACATGACCAAGTTGCAGAATTATTCATTGGAAACTTTGCCAAAAGTTTGAATTTGAATGGAGCTAAAAGAAACAACTTCCTGGGATCCTCAAGTTGGAAAGGTTTTGGAGAAACAACAGGTTAAGATTTTATGGGATTTTTAAGATCCGACATGCATCTTGCACATGCCTGCTACAACAGTAACTAAAAAAAAAAACCTGTTTGGTTGACGTTGCTATTCTCGGTCATGCTAGAACTGAAGAAAAAACAATTGGAAAAAATTACAAAATATTGGGACATGCAGATTGAAGTTGAATGCTTATGGGAAAAGAAATTTGCCATTATACCAATTATGATTGGAACCCTCGGAGTGATACTTAAAGGACCTCCTAGGATGGTTGGATGATAAATAAGTGAGCTATAGACAGACAGATAGGTAAGATAGATAGATAGGATGGACAGACAGGATAGATAGATAGATAGATAGATAGATAGATAGATAGATAGATAGATAGACAGACAAGATAAATAGATAGATGATAGAAGATAGACAGATAGATGATAGATAGAAGATGATAGATAGAAGATAGACAGACAAGATAGATGATAGAAGAAAGATAGATAGACAGACAGACAGACAGATATATATAGAGGGGGTTGGGAGGGGGCAGATAGATATAGAGATGATAAGATAGATAGATAGATAGATAGATAGATAGATAGATAGATAGATAGATAGACAGACAGACAAGATAAATAGATAGATAGAAGATAGACAGATAGATGATAGAAGATGATAGAAGATAGATAGACAGACAGACAAGATAGATGATAGAAGATAGACAGACAGACAGAGAGACAGACAGATATATATAGAGGGGGGAGGGAGGGGGCAAATAGATATAGAGATGGTAAGATAGATAGATAGATAGATAGATAGATAGATAGATAGATAGATAGATAGATAGACAGACAGACAGACAGACAGACAGACAGACAGACAGACAGACAGACATGGATTGGATGGATGGATGGACACAGATAGACAGAGATGAATAACTAGATACAGAAATACATAGATAATAGATAGACCTAATCTATCAATTTATTAAGTAGACTGCCTTTATTGCTTTTTATAAATAACTCAAAGGTGGCAAACATACCCAATACTTCCTTTTCCCCACCAGAGAGAGAGGGAGAGGGAGGGAGGAGGAGGGAGGGAGAGAGAGAGAGAGAGAGAGAGAGAGAGAGAGAGAGAGAGAGAGAGAGAAGGACTGGCCCAAAGTCACCCATGAATTCATCAGACATATACACCCTCATTTTACAAAACAAACCCCCAAAACCCCCAAACCCCTCTTGGCACTCATTAATAATCATCAGCAGCAGCATGGTTATCTTGTTTGCTGTGTACACTGTCATTTTTGTGTAGAATAATAATAATAATAAATAATAATAATAATAATAATAATAATAATAATAATAATAATATAATCAGCGACCCCAAAGGCCCCGTTTGAGCCCCCCCCGCGGTCTCCCCCCCCCTCACGCGAGCGAGTCAGGGCCGGCCGCTTTTCCTCTCAGGCCAGCCTACCTCGCAGGGCTGTTGTGTAGCGACCTCGAAGGAGCGCTTCACCTGCCGCCGGGATCTTTTTTTTGGGGGGTGGGGGTGGACGTGAAACATAGAGGACCCCGAAGGAAGGAGGGCGAAGGGACCGAGCCCGCCGCGACGCGTTTCCCCCCTCAGCGCCATGTCCGGCGCATCCCGCTCCTGACCGGCTGCGATTCCGGCCGCTTCCCGCCATTACCGTTCTCTCGTCCCTTCGCAGGAGGCCGCAGCGGGGCTACTTCGCCTCCCGGCGCCCCGAGGGGGAAGAAGGGGAGCGACCGCGACGATCGCCACCATCCCCATCCCCTCAGGAGCTTCGCCGAGCGGCTTCGCCGAGCGCAACCTAACCCCGCAGGCTTGGGCTGCCAGCGCCCGCTCCGTCCCGCCCCGTCCCCGCGATTAGCCAATCAGAACACGCGGAAGCAGGCGTCGCTCCTCGCGACTGGTTCCTCCTCCCTTTCGCTCTCGCTTTCTGTCAGACGGAGGGAATTTCCATCTTTTTTTCCCCCTCACCAGCATGCTAGGTTGAACGGGAGCGACGACTTCGTTTGGATTGGCTGGCCGGGTTCGTTCCTGTTCGATGAGTGGCTAAAAAGGGAAGAAAGGCCCGCCCGATGCCTCTCCCCGTACGCGCCGAGATCGGTTGATTTGATTGGGCGGGTTTTCCCAGGACTCGCCTACTTCGCTTTCTATTGGATAAAAAGCGAAAGAGCGGAGGGAAAAGGGGGCGGAGGCTCTAAAAGGTAAAACGTTACCATTCCTCCTCCTCCTGCCCCCGCCACCGGATTGATGACGTCATTCGAAGGGAAGGCGGGGCCATGTGTCTGTTGCTATTGTATATTAATAATCCGTAATCTGCGTTTATAGTTTATTCTGTAGGATCATTGTTGGGGGGATACTTTGATTTATATTGTTTCTCCCCAAAAATAATAATAATAAAAATAACAAGGCACAGTTGAAAGCAAAGAATAAAAATGGAAGAACACGTGCAAATGCGTATGAATGCATAAGGGGAGATAAATTGGTTTTAAAATATATGATTTATTTCTAGCTCTAATGCAGATCCTTACCATTGTTTTCGTATAGATTCTTTAAAAATGGATTAAAATCTCTGCGTAGAATATGTGCACTGTATTTAAACGTTGACAAAAGGATACATACATTAGAATAGAAATAGAATAGAATAGAATATTGGAATGAAGAATAGAATAGAATAGAATAGAATAGAATAGAATAGAATAGAATAGAATAGAATAGAATAGAATAGAATAGAATTCTTTATTAGCCAAGTGTGATTGGACACACAAGGAATTTGTCTTGGTGCATACACTCTCGGAGTACATACGTAAAAGAAAAGATACGTTCGTCAAGAATCATAAGGTACAACACTTAATAATAGTCATAGGGAACAAATAAGAAATCAAATCATTCTAGGAAACAGTCAATATAAATTGTAAGGATACCAGCAACAAGGTTACAGTCATACAGTCATAAGTGGGAGGAGATGGGTGATAGGAATGATGAGAAGATTAATGCAGACTTAGTGAATAGTTTGATAGTGTTGTGGGAACCGGCTGAATACCACCTCTGTTGGGGACTCCTGATCTCTTAGAGTATGCACAAGTCACTCTCTGCTTGTCCTTCCTTAAGTGAAATTGACCTGTGGTAGAAAACCCAAGAACTGTCAGTCAATCACAGTTCTCTTCCTCCGGCTTCAAGCTGTCTTAATTGCTGAGTGTCTCCACATAAGCGAGAGAGGGTATGCTTTTCTTCCCACGCTCCGTGCATTTTGGGGTCTGCAGTTGGGTCCCTGAGTCTATTGGGTTCTTCTCCTCGAAACATCCTAGAAGCTGTTTGAAGAAAAGGTCTGGGAAGGAGAGTTGAGTGTTAGAAAAGAGAAAAAGGAAAAAAACAACAACCAAGGAATAAACAAAAAGTCTGTAGAGATTCTCAGTTCATCCAGGTCATGGTTGTCCCAAAGGTGCTTTTCCAGGAGACAACTGGAGTTTCTAGTTTGTTTGTTTTGTTTTGTTTTTCAAGAAATAAACAATGACACTGAAAGTTTGCTAAGTTGCCGTGGCGTCAGCTCTCTGTTGTCGGAATCTCTGTATAGCTCAACAACAACCGTACTTCAGTCATCTTGCGCAAAGAACATGGTGGTGCCAACAAGTTGCTATGCTGAGAAAATAGAGAACGGGAAAATGACGGAAACTTCAGGATCAGGAACAAGAAGCCAGATCAACAAATCATGGCTGCATTTGAACGAGGCCAGGATATGAAAAAGGGGAGACAAATCTCTACCTTCAGGAACTTAGAACATCTCTTGAAGTAGCGATAACTCAAGAAGGCAGCAAAGAAAAGCTGGTTCTGAGTGGCATCATTCGTCATCCCCAGAAGAAAGTGTTTCCGGCACAAAGATTTGATTCAATGGCAATAGCCTCTTCTTACAAAATTGAGTAATCATCATGGGGTTAAGGAAGAGTGGTGCGGTGGCCTAGAGGTGGAGCTCTCACCTCACAATCAGTAGGCTGTGAGTTCGATCCTAGGTAGAGGCAGATATTTCTCTCTCTGGGCACGATGGGAATATATCTGCTGAACAAAGCTCTGCATTGGTGACAGGAAGGGCATCTGGTCCATTGAGGACCCAGTTTGTGGGGGCAATAAGCTGACTTTTTCTATACAAAAGTATGAAGGCTATTGCTTAACGCATTGTAAGCCGCCCTGAGTCTCCGGAGAAGGGCCGCACATAAATCAAATTTAAAAAAAAAAAATGCTCTACTAGCTCCATTCAGTTGCCCAAACTCCACCCCACATGGGATTATGGGGTCGTTAAATAATGATGATGATGATCATGGAGTTAAGGGGTTTCTGTCATCTCAGAGCTCCTTCATTGGAGAAGCTTCCCTGTTTCAACCGTAGCTTTTTAGAAAGATGCTACTTTGCTGGCACTTCTGCCCCAATGTGATGCCAGTATGCAAATTATTTGGAACAATGCACACAGAAAGCATGAGCTGAAAGGTGTCACAAAGGCAACACCAGGCAGTCCAAGGTCATAGAGGTGTGGGGCATTCACTCAGATATCTCCATCCAAGCCAAGAGGGAGCTTTGGGTGTCTGGTGTTAGGACTTAGTAGACTTGGCCGCAAGGTGCAGAAGTCTTGTTCTCAGGTGTCTTTTCCAAGAGGTCTTGGTGCCACCTCAAAAGCTCAAACAAATGAGGACAGCGAAGTGTTGGAGATGCTTCCATGGAACTATTTTATGTTGCCTTTGCTGTTTTAGGACGAGGAGAAGGTACCCCGTTCTTTGGCTTGCTAAAACAGTGTTGAGAAATAGGAACAATTTGGAGAAATGCTCGTATTCCATGTGATTGGTTTTGGATTCTAGATGAAAGAATCATACAGGCTGGGTTCTAGGCCGAACTCTTGTTAACTGATTTCCAAACAGTCCATCAAGCAACGATACTTGGAAAGAACATCAGTAAAAGAAATAATATTGGGAAACGCTGTCAGATGAAATGTTTGTTTGTTGCCCATGTGAGGATTTCCTTAAGTGTTATGCAAAAAAAAATAAAAAATCAAAATCGAAATACAAAATTCCAAAAATGTTTTCAGAATTTTAAAAAGACTGAGCAGCGTCAACTCCATGGGCACCTTTTACTGAAATGATAATATGCAAATATTTCATTTTGTTTTGTTTTGTTTAGAGAAGCAATCAAAGATGCTATTCCCCATAGCCTATAAAATGATTCAGAATATCTCCTATTCTACTTCAGGATATTTCCAAGGGTTTATCCCAGGGGTGAAATTCAGCAGGTTCTGACAGGTTCTGGAGAACTGGTAGCGGAAATTTTGAATAGTTCAGAGAACCGGCAAATACCACTTCTGGCGAGCCCAAGAGTGGGGTGGGAATGGAGATTTTGCAATATCCTTCCCCCAGGAGTGGGGAGGGAATGGAGATTTTGCAATATCCTTCCCCTGGAGTGGGGTGGGAATGGAGATTTTTGCAGTATCCTTCCCCTGGAGTGGGGAGGGAGTGGGGATTTTGCAGTATCCTTCCCCTGGAGTGGAGTGGGAATGGAGATTTTGCAATATCCTTCCCCCAGGAGTGGGGAGGGAATGGGGATTTTGCAGTATCCTTCCCCTGGAGTGGGGTGGGAATGGAGATTTTTGCAGTATCCTTCCCCTGGAGTGGGGTGGGAATGGAGATTTTTGCAGTATCCTTCCCCTGGAGTGGGGAGGGAGTGGAGATTTTGCAGTATCCTTCCCCTGGAGTGGAGTGGGAATGGAGATTTTGCAATATCCTTCCCCCAGGAGTGGGGAGGGAATGGAGATTTTTGCAATATCCTTCCCCCTGGAGTGGAGTGGGAATGGGGATTTTGCAATATCCTTCCCCCAGGAGTGGGGAGGGAATGGAGATTTTGCAGTATCCTTCCCCTGCCATGCCCACCAAGCCACGCCCACCAAGCCACACCACGCCCACCAAGCCACGCCCACAGAACCGGTAGTAAAAAAAAAATTGAATTCCACCACTGGTATATCCCATCCCCTGTGGGCCCCTGGCCAATCTGTGTTGGGCAGTCTGAACATCAGCTCTCCATTTGATGAAATCATTTGCTTTCCCTGCAGTTCAGTGGAAAAAATCCTGGAGTTTTCTGGAGCCAAGTGGTACACTCCTGGTCTGGAGCCAGTGATAGTCCACGACATCTTATCGGACAGCATTCCAGATATCAGGGACAACGATAGCATGGAAATTACCGCGATGATGCATGAAGTGAAAGAAGATGGCGATCTATTGAATAGCACTTCAGACCTAAATCTAGAAGATGACCCAGATCTCAGCAACATGCCCGTCGATCTCCAAGACTACCTGGATGAATGGAAAGGATATAGTACATTTCCAGGCCGTGACCTCAAAGCCTATGAGACAATAGCGAACTCAATGGATCAGATTATGCCAGAAGAACCTAAAGAAACAGGAGAAGAAACTAGAAGTCATTCTGGACCACCTGGAGAAGAATAAGAAATGAGGGGTGAAGGACAAATCTGCATTTATCTCGGGCCTTGAAGATTAACAAGAAGATTCTTATGCAAGCTATTTCCTTTGATTCTGAGAAGAAGGGATCTTGGCTTATAAACGAGCCTTACTTCAGGTTTCGAAAGGCCAGTTGGTTAAGATCGAGAAGGTCTTCAGATCTTCAGCCTAGAGCAAATCCCAACAAATTATTCATTTGATTATATCAGCAAGGCATTTTTCATATCTTTTTTTTTTTTAACACTGAAGCTGGAGGAGGGATGGGTGACTTTTTTCTGCAGAAAGTCCCGTGTGGGTATCTTAATATCTTAATCAGTGGGTGAAATTAACAATGGTCTCTTTGCACTTCCTTATCTTTCCAACATTCGTTTTTTCCCCCCTTTCCTTCAGAGCAGACTAATGTGGGGTCATTCGCTTGAGAAGTCTAAACTTCAACTTGTAGGCAGCTTTGGAAAGGGGCACCTCTCTTTAAAGGTTATGCACCCTTAAAATATACGTATTCTTTGCCAATTCTGGATTTTTTCAGTTTCACTTGTTGATTGACAATTGTGTCGTACTGCATTTCTACCCTGTTTATTTCCTTTTTTAAATAAATGCTTTAGAAACCCTCGAATCTGTCCGGTTCTTTAAAATGCAAGGAAGGTTAAGTAAACGCAAACATGCTGAAGAATTCCACAAGAAAAGAAAGGGAGGAAATATAATGCTCCTTTGTCCTCTTATAACTTATCGATAAGGGCTATATGCTTCCGTTCTATCAGAAGATTTGAAACTGTATTCTTTAAACCTGGATGGATGTTCACCTCATTTCACACTGTGAAATGTATATGTATATATATACAGTGTTTTTCTGTTGAGACACCTGGTCTACCCCAGCATGTGGGAGGGAGCGTGGGTAGAAAAATAGGGCCCACCTTTGGTGGGAAGGGAACAGCGTTCCATGCGCCTTAGGCGTTGAGTCATGCCAGCCATATGACCACGGAGACATCTTCGGACAGCGCTGGTTCTTCAGCTTTGAAACGGAGATGAACACTGTCCCCTAGAGTTGGGAACGACTAGCACATATGTGCGAGGGGAACCTTTACCTTTACCTTGTAACAAACTAAACCCAAAGGATAATAATCTTGTAACCCAAGCTGCTGGGGTTTTTTTGTGATTTAGGCTTTTAGTTGAAAGTTTGGAGAACTAACTTCAGATCCCTTTTCTTTGAAAAGTTTTCCGCTATGACTCGAAGAAATGATCTGTTCACTCCATCTTCAAGGGGATCAACAATTCTGAATTCCGCAAAATGAAGAAACTCTCCCACAATCATATTTTTTGGGGAGGGAAATCCTTTAGTGCCCCAACTCTCATCTTTCAAAAATAAATGCCTCACCCCAACATCAAACAACCTATTTCAAGGTTCTGTAGGTTACCACAGCTGAAGAAGAATTGTGTTGGAATGGAAATTACCGGCCAGAATTCTCAGAAATTTAAACAACAGACACTTCTGGTAGCACAATTCTATTATTAGATGGTAGCAGCTATTTTAAGCCATTTTATCTTTTGCTGATAGATTGGATTAGAGACTGGTAAATCAGAAAGTTCTTGGCTACTGGTTTTTTTATTAGTTTTGACAGGAAGCAGTTTGAATGTTATATTTATAGTCAGAAAGCTGGCTGCTTACGTATCACTAGAGCTTATTTCACCCACGGCCTGCTTAACAGGCAATAACTGATAAATATTAATCCTTTAAAAATGCAGAGACTGGATGGAGATTCTTTCCTTCATTTCCATTTACTTTAACAAGCTCAAGGGGATCTGATGCATCTGGGTAATTGTAGCTTAGAAATATCTCTCATTGGTGACAACTCCATGGGCAGAAATCTGACTTGGTGAGCCCTCGGCAAGAGGAAAATGATCAAAAAACGAATGGCAATCCAGAAAATCGAAATGCAGAATAACAAAGTTGGAAGAGACCTTAGAGGTCTTCTAGTCCAACCCCCTGTATAACATTTCAGACAAATGGTTGTCCAATCTCTTCTTAAAAACCTCCAGTGATGAAGCACCCACAACTTCAAGCAAGCCACATAAAGCCCATAGTGAGTTGTCCTTATTTGGATAGGCCTTCTAAGACTGTATTTATCTGAGATGTTCGCCAAACGAAGTGACTCTCCTTCCAAATAAACATTTGATGTAAAAGCCTGAAATATGCTCCAAATTCTATCATCATCGTCATCATCAATTAACTATGATGAATGCAAAATATTTCTATTCTGCCCTATTGCTGAGTTTTGAAGTTGCTTATATAGCATTTTTCTTTTCAAAGACCAGTAGACACAATCCCTAAGAACAAAGAAGTCAAAACATCATCTATGAGATAAAGCCATATCAATCCACCGATCTTAAAAAAAAGTTTCCAAAAATCCATGTGCCCTTCATCAGTTTCTGGAGTCCTGGTTCTTAGCTCAATAAATCCAGACACTTCTGACGGAAATTTTTCACGGTGTAAGGTCCAATAATAATATGTTTAAGCTCATAAATGCCAAACAAGAAACTTAAACAGAGGCTTGAGTAAAATAGCATTTAATCTTGATCAAGCTTAAATGGTTAGCTGTTCCAAACACATACAAGATTGTTAGGGGGCAATATGCTATTTAGTATACTGTCTTTGGTGTAAGCCGCCCAGAATCCTCGGAGAGAGGGCGGCATAGAAATATGACTAATAAATAAATAAGATATATGTAGGTAACAACTACAAACAAGAAAGCAGATGTGAATCCCTTTTATATTGTTCAGAAACGTCATAAACCTCCAATTCTGGCATCTTTGATTTGTGTATCCCTGGAATTTGGTTTGTGTATCCCCTGGAACAGGGTAGAGCCTCTTAATGAGCATCATTACCTCTTTTCTTTGTTCTCACAATTGACCACTTGACCCCTTGGTGTGAAGGGAACGGAACTCAACCCAGATTGAGTGTTAGCATCTCCAATCTGATAAATTCTGGGCAGGGGGGAAAGAGGTAAGGCTCTGATCATATAGTTTGACAATTGCCAGATACTTCACAACAGACCCCAATAACAGTCCAGGAAGTTAGTCAATGTGGCATGTTAGTGTTATTATCCCCTACAAAGGGCATAATATATACATCTTACTTCTTCGTAGGATTTATGTGTGTTTTTCCTCTAGCCAGGTTTTCCTACGTAACCAAGGTTTTTCTGCAGCCCTAGCTCAGTAGAATCACATCCACTCGATTCTGGGCTTTTTTTCTTTCTGGCAGCCAGCAAGTTCTGGTGCCAGGTGAGAGACTTATATAGATCTATTTCTGGCTCGTTAGCCATCATCAGTAAGCCACACCCACATCTCATGTATCCTCCCTGTAAAGGTACAGTATCTATTTTCTTACTTCTTTGTAGGATTTATGTGTGTTTTTCCTCTAGCCAGGAAATATGTTGCAGGAAACAAGTAACAAGTTTCTACTAATTCTAGTATTTCAGTATATCATCTATTTCCTTACATTGGAAAAGTAGGAAAATAGTTAACTAGGGCAATCAATACATATTCCAGCTTCACTATTACATTGCAGACATTTGAAGATTGCTATTCTCAACACTAACCAGATTATCTGGATTGTGCCAAGACCTTGTCCTCATATAAAAGGAACCAGGTATCGTATTTCAAAAAAAAAATAAAATAAAATTCAGAGAACTCATGACTTTTTGTAGTAACCACCTTCTTAAAACAGCACAGATGAGATTAAAAATGAGGAAGCTCGGCTAAACTTCCTTCGTTAGAATAAAATAGAGAAGTTGACCAAGATATCTAAAGTGAAACTCAATGTTTACTTGTCTCTGGAGATTTCAAAAGGAAGCCAGAAGGGTTGCTATCGCCGCGTTTTAAAGCTTCACAACGTATCAAATCATTTCCAGAGTTCTATCAGGGCAGAATTTCGTCTCTTAAGAGTAGGTAAGTTTCAAACTGGTGGGATGTGCTTGCTTGTGATTTTTTTTGCTTAGGACTATGTTTATTCCTAACTATATTGTTTTGTCCTGTTAGAGCAGGCTAGATGGATGTAAGCGAGTTGCATCCATTCTGTGTTTTGCCTGAACTGCACCTTATTCAACAAAATATGGTGAAAACATGTCTGAAAAGCTTCCTGTGATATATTGTAAGCTTTCTCAGGTACAGCAAACAAGAAACATGTCCTTCTTCTTCTTTTTTGTGCCATATCTGTCATCGGACGTTGGCGATCATGTTGGCAATCCTATTTTTGTCAACAGCCGTATGAAAAAGTACTGCTGAGTTTTGTCCAAACCAGTCCCTTAGATTTTGAAGCCATGATGTTCTTCTGCTGCCTGGACCTCGTTTGTCTTCAATCTTTCCCTGCAGGATTAAGTGACGGGATGCCGTGTTTTTCTGGGTGTTGCAACCACATGTCCAAAATATTCTAACTTTCGCTTTTTAATGGCTTTGATGATTTCCCTTTGCTTTCCCAGGAGGCTTATCACCTCCTCATTTGTGATTTTGTTAACCCCGCTTATACGTAACAGCTGTCTGTAAATCCATGTCCAGAAACATGTCCAGATGAGCTAATTCTACTTTATTGTAAGGCTACCGTACATTAACTAAACATTGCAAGTCTGATAGGAGAAATCTCCCGCCATCTCTTTGATAAATTGGGGAGGCTTTTTTCTCTGCCTGTTATGCATCTGTGGGCCATGTCCTCTCTTATCTCATCATTCCCTAGACAGCATCTCTTCCCTCCACCTTTCAAGGTCATTCCCACCTACCATTATACATACCAATTACATTTTTTCTCTGGAAGCTGTATGATGGATGAAAACCAGTCCTACTCAGAAGCGGAAGAAAGGCAGGAAGACCCCGCAGAGACATCCAAACCTCCTAAAGTCATTCATTCTGGCAAAGAGGACGATTATGAAAACATGAATTCATGTCAAGCAACCCAGGAAGCAAAAGAGACCACCAACCAACCAGGTAAGCCATTTTATAGGATAGGCAACTTGCTGTCCTCCACATGTTTTGCATCCCAAATCCCATCAGCCCACCGGGGTGAGCTTCAGATCCTTTAGCAATGGGTTCGCTGCCCCGTTGCTGGGTGGGTGTGGCAATGGTGGGCATGGCCTAGTCGGCCGCCTACACCACGACAGGGAGGGGAGCGTTTTTCGCCCTCCCCAGGCTCTGGAGGCTTTCCTTGAGCCTCTGGGAAGGTGAAAACTGCTTCCCTCGGGGTTTTACAAACCTGTTTCCGGACTTCTGGAACCTCCGATAGGCTCATTTTTTGCCCTCCGAGACCCTCCGTGCACCACCTGCACTTACCTGGAATGATGAATGGGCCGTGTGAGGACTCCTGGGAGGGGAGGGGTGGATGGGTGTGGCCATCCAGGGGTGACATTTGGGGGTTTGCTGAACCCTGGTGATCCTTGGCTAGAGGATCGCCCAAACCCTGCCGAACCCCCGGGAGCAGTGGTGGGATTCAGCCAGTTCGCACCACTTCGGGAGAACTGGTTGTTAACTTTCTGAGCAGTTTGGTGAACTGGTTGTTGGAAAAAATCATTAGGGCAGAGAACCGGTTGTTAAATTATTTCAATCCCATCACTGCCCAGAAGCCCACCCCTCCGCTCTACCATTGGAAAGACACTGCTAAGGACTGTGATCCAACACAACTACCTACCTGTGGTTCTGAATTCAGTTGCCCTTATTGGTTCGTTCTGATTCTATTCAGTACTGAATTTGAATGGACCAGCCTTTTTAGAGGGATTGAAGTCCATTTTTACACTTCAGAAAGCTCGGATGATGGTGAATGGGGATTTGACAGAGCTGAATAAATCCGGAAAGAAACCAGATTGGGTGTCCTTCATCCCCTTTATTATTTAGCTTGGTGTTGGAACTACTAAACAGGGACATTAGACAAAGATAACAGAGCAAAAGGATTACTAATTAAAGCACATCAAGTATAAACTTTGTGCTTTTGTTGATGACTTTGTTTCGGTTTTGCAAGAGCCGCTAGAGAATATTCACTCTGTGATGAGGAAGATTAAAATATTTGGAGAAATGGCAGGTTTGAAAATAAATAAAAGATGACAATTCTGCTCAATGTGCTGCGTGCATCCGGCAATCATGGTTTGTAAACGATGGCTTAACTCAATGTAGCCTATACCAGGGGTCTCCAACCTTGGCAACTTTAAGACTTTTGGACTTTAACTCCCAGAGTCAAAGGAATTAAACTCAAAGGAATTGAAGTCCACAAGTCTTAAAGTTGCCAAGGTTGGAGACCCCTGGTCTATACAATCTTCCCCTAGCATTCCAAGTTAAAATTATTTCAGTGCTCTAAAGATAATATCAGATATCTTTATTACAGTCTATGACTTGCCTTTACAATAAGAGTATAGTCAAAAGGAGCCTTGGTAGTACAGTGGTCTATGCACCCTGTTATTAACACAGCTGCCTGCAATTACTGCAGGTTCAAATCTTACCAGGCTCAAGGTTGACTCAGCCTTCCATCCTTTCTAAGGTAGGTTAAATGTGGACCCAGTTTGTGGGGGCAATAAGCTGACTTTGTATAAATATACAAAAGAATGAAGGCTATTGCTTAACGCATTGTAAGCCGCCCTGAGTCTCCGGAGAAGGGCGGCATATAAATCAAATTTTAAAAAAAAATAGTTTAATACAGCAATTAGTTATTAGGGAAGAGGCAAAATAGTCATAGGACAATAGAACAGCCTAACTAATGAAAACATTTCCACCATTGTGTAACTGGGGGAAAAATATTTGGCCTCCTGATATGTGAGTCCTCCATGCGATCTAAAGCCGATCTAAAGCTTACAATCCAGCCATTATCCTAAATCGGCACACTGTCTATAATCCATGACTCTAATTTCCAGAGGAGAAAAATCCCAACTCTTCCATGACAACTAAAGAACTTCAGGAATACTGGCGGAATGAGAAACGAAACTGCCGAGAAGTCAAGGTGCTTTTTGAAATCCCATCAGCCAAAATTGTAGAGAAGCCGTTCTCTAAATATGTGGTAAGCTAATAAGCTAACAAAAAAAGCGGCAATAATGATGATGATAATGATGAAGATGATGATGATGAAGATGAAGAAGAAGAAGGAGAAGCCTAGGGTTTGAAGCAACCTGTGTTGACCTAAGATGGCTCAGATCTCTAGCTGAATAAATCCCCTTTCATCAGTTGAGTCAATCACGACTATAATAACTTCATTAGGGCTAGATAGTTTTATTTGTTATACTATATCATGGTTAAGAATACAATGGTTAACACCACATTATAAGCCACAAATGTAATGATTATAGCAATTACTGGATTAAGCTACATTACACCTTTGCACAAGCATCGTGGTTTTGAATAGGGTGGTACCCCAGTTGTAAAACATAGGTTACCATATAGTATTATGTGTGACCCAGTAATTCACACAAAGTACTAAGCCATAAGTACCGTATTTTTCAGAGTATAAGACGCACCTTTTTCCCCCCTAAAAGGGGGTGAAAATTTAGGTGCGTCTTATACACCGAATGTAGCCTCACCCACCCACTGGCCCCCACTCTTTGGTCTCTGCCTTGCAGCAGTTACCTCCTTGCAAACAAACAGCAAGAAAAAACAGCTCATTTCAGCTTCAGCACAGCCTAATTAGCACAAGTTGATTGGATCGGCCTCCCGACTCTCAGCTGATTTGCTCTCAGCTGTTTTGCGCACGGCTCTGCTGCTTGCTGCAAAGAGGTAAATTGCTGGAGCAGATTTTTTTTTTTCCTTGTGCTAATCAAGCTATGCTGAAAATGAAAATGAAAGTAAAGCAGGCTGTTTGCTATTTGCTGCAAGGAGGCAAAATTAGGCAGAGGCAGAGGGAGATCTCTTTTTCTTCTTTTCCTCAGCAAAAAAGGTAGGTGCGTCTTATACTCTGAAAAATACGGTACTTCGATCATGGATTGTTGAATAAACCACAGGACATAAGATTAAGCCATCCACCAAGGTGAGAAGCCAGTATATTCTGCTTAACTAAAATTGTAAATATTCAAAGTAATACAAAACCCATATTCAGGGTAAAGGAGTCCCAGATGACTGGGTCTCTTTTTGCATCTGACATTCCTAAAATATTTTGCTTGTACATCCTTTCCAGAAGTACCAAATCATCATAATCCAGACTGGCAGCTTTGACAGCAACGTATCCATGATTGAACGCCGGTATTCTGATTTTGAAAAGCTGCACACGAGCCTATTTAAAGAATTTTATGATGAAATGGAAGACCTCGTCTTTCCCAAAAAGATCCTGACTGGCAATTTCATGGATGAAGTCATCCTGGAGAGAAAACTGGCTTTCCAGGATTATTTGCGAATTCTATACTCCATGGAGTTCATCAGGACATCTCGATTGTTCATTGACTTCTTAATAAGGCCTGAGCTGGAAGAGGCCTACAGCTGCCTTCGGGGAGGACAATACACCAAAGCTTTGAAAGGTCTCCTGGAGGCCATCGCTTTGCAAGAGAAGCTCACAAAGCACAGACCCATTCTGTTGGTTCCCACCCTCTGCGCCATCCTTGTATGTCACAAAGATCTGGAGAACTTCAAAAGCGCCTTTGAATTTGGAGAAAAGGCCCTCCAGCGTTTAGAAAAACATTCTGGTCACCGGTACTATCTACCATTGCTAGAAACGATGATCTCCTTAGCATATGAGCTCGGGAGAGACTTCTTGTTCTTCCAAAAGAAGATGGAAGAGAGGAAGGCCAAAAAACTTCCACAGAAAATGTTGACGCTGAAGGAACTGACAGTACAGGAATATGTGCAATGAGGAGAAGAAAGGGAGAGAAATATCATGCAGCTTTTGACGAGACAGGAACATTTTCCCAATCGAAAGGCTGAAAGATATTGGGAACTTAGAGGGGGGGGGAAATACGAGGGAACAGTTTAATACACAATTTGTTGTGTGGAGAAAGCAAAACTTCTTGCTCCTTTCTTCTTATGATAAAATTCAGAGATCACCCAGTGGAAACATTGCAGAGAACTGTTTTGTAAAAGTGTTCCCTTGGACATCACCTAATAAATCTGCAGAACGTGATGATGACAGTTTCCAAAATTTGAAAATGTCCCATATTAGCAATGGAGTTAATTATGTTGTGTTAATGCATAGACACCCTTGGTTGTATCAGGATAAGCAGTAAAGGACCAAATATACTAATATAGAGATAAACTGTTCGCTTTGATTAGATTTTTAGGTGGTTTTTTGGGGGAGGTTGGCACTTCAGAAGCTTCCGTGAGCCCTTGTAAAGAAACCAATCACGGGTGACAGACCAAATGCAAATCCTATGCTATTTCATTTCAAAAGAGACAGGAGATGGCTAACATCTGCCTGATGTTTTATAGAAACCTCCAATGACACCATCGTGAGCATGTAACATCTGGGTGGAACAGTTTGAACATCCTCTGGGATCCACGTCCTGCTCATGGCAACTTGAAAGCTTTGCAAGTTGACATTATTAATGTTTGAGCCCATTTTCACATCCGTTAAAATTACTGGGAATAGAGATATTTACCTTTGATGGTAAAGATGTTGAGAACATACCATGAATACTGTTAGATAAGATGAACGCTAAACCAGAAATCAAGGCCAAGAAAACTAGACTAACCCAAGACTCTAGGACAGTATTTCTTGACCTTGGCGACTTTAACGCCCAGAATTCCCCAGCCAGGGTAAATATATTTTCTAAATATAATTAGAAAAGATGCCCATCCTTCTCAAAGTGAAGACACCACTGGATTATCGGTTCTGAAAGTCAGGATGACAAATAGCAATAACCCTTAGACCAGGAGTCCTCAACGTATCCACGGGTCGAATACGGCCTGCTGAAGCCATTCATCCGGCCCACGTGGGACCATGAGGCTGCTCCGCCCACACCACCACACCTACCCGCCAGCCCCCACCCTCCTTCTGGAAGCCAGGGAGGCCAAAAATGGGGCCATTTTTGGCCTCCCCAGCCGAGAGAGAGAGAGAGAGAGAGAGAGAGAGAGAGAGGACAATAGAAGTCCCTCACACCCCATCCCCCAAGGCAGTCACATCCCTTCACTAACCACCTTTCCACCTTCAGGAGCATAACAAATTAAAGTTTAATTTGTGTGTATTATTTAATGGACTGCTAAATTGGCCATGCCCACCCAGTCACATGACCACCTAGTCATGCCCACCCAGCCGGTCCGGTGCCCCAACAGTCTGAAGGAATTCGCCCCCTGTTTAAAAAGTTTGAGGACCCCTGCCTTAGACGTATATACCGATTCACAGTGCTTTACAGCCTTCTCCAAGAAGTTTATAGAGTCAGCATCTTGCCCCCAACAAATCTACATCCTCCCAAAGGTGCTTTTTTCAAGAGGCAACTGGACTTCTTTGGTTTTTCTTTGAAGATGTTTCGCTTCTCATCCAAGAAGCTTCTTCAGCTCTGACTGGATGGTGGGGAATGGAAGGATTTGCATCCTTTTAGAGCAGTGTTTCTCAACCTTGGAAGCTTGAAGATGGGTGGACTTCAACTCCCCAAATCCCCTGGGTGTTGAAGTCCACCCATCTTCAAGCTACCAAGGTTGAGAAACACTGTTTTAGAGAGTCCTTGAGGCTACTTGGAGGTTTGCAAATGAGTGTGGAGCCTTTTTGCAAATGACCAGCTGTCTGCAAGGAGTATAAATCCTTCCCTTCCCCACCATCCAGTCAGAGCTGAAGAAGCTTCTTGGATGAGAAGCAAAACATCTTCAAAGAAGAAACAAGAAAGTCTTGAAAAAAGCACCTTCCGGACAACCACGACTTGGATGACTGAGAATGACCATAGACGAATCTGGATCCTCATTTTACCGACCTCAGAAGGATGGAAGGTTGAGTCAACCTTGAGTTGATTATGAATTTATGGCGCCACTAGATGGTGCTGCCACATTAAATGCCATCTGTAGTTCTAGGAGCCTGCCATAAAATCAGCCGCTTTCTTCTTTTAGAAAAAAAAAAGCTAAACTTTTTTATTTTTCCGAAAGGAAAAAAAGAAAACAATTGGAATTGAGATGTGCAATTGAAAAAAAAAAAAAAAACCAGGCCATTTACCTTATTAAGGATTTAAATTTGGAAGAAAAATAAAAAAAACTACACACCCAACACAATTCCACTGTGAGCTTTGGATTGAAGAATTTACCTTTCTAGTAATCCTTGTGGACAATTTAATATCTCCCTTTATCACGAGGCTGTAGGAGCCAGGATGGAGAGAGCTGAAAGGAAAAATATTCTTGCAGACTTTTAAACCTGGTGAGTTCAAAGCCGAAGGCACAGCTGTGCTTCTTTCCCTACACTACCATTTCCTCCTGATCAAAAGGAGGCAAAGTAAAACTCGAAACTCTTTAAAGAACTATCAGATAATGAGGGGAGAAGAACAAAAGTGAACTCTCTCTCTCTCCCCCCCCCTCTCTTTTTTTTTTCTCTTTCTCTTTCCATGATTCAGAGGACAGTTGAAATTCAGTGTATTCCTAGCTGACTTTTTTGGCTGGGATCAGAAGTTGCCTGAGATTGTTTAACCGCACTGAATGTTGACAATCCAGAAAGTCTAGAGATCCAAGAGGTCTCTGACCTTGACAACTTTACGACTGATGGACTTCAACTCCCAGAATTCCCCAGCATGAGAGCCTGGGGGATTCTGGGAGTTGAAGTCTACAAGTCCTTAAAGTTGCCAAGGTTGGACACCCCTGATTCAGATAAAAGGAGCATCGCTCTGTCCCAGCAAGGAGGTTCTACCTGCACTTGACTGACCTTTCTTGGCTCAGCAAGGCCAGACCTGGTTAATAATTGGAGGGAGAAATTGTAGAAACGAACAAGGTCATATTAGGAAATCCAAAAAAAATCCCAACAGGCATTGACAAAATGAGATGAAGTCAACCAGAAACCAAGATTGATTAGAAAGGGAAAGGGTTGTTGTTGTTGTTGTTGTTGTTGTTGTTATTATTATTATTATTATTATTATTATTATTATTATTATTATTATCTTTATTCATTAAATATGAAACTCAGTCAACTGAACATTCAAAAATGCATCAGAAAGACCATTGAATGGTGCTAATGGTTGATACGGGTTGCTGCCAGCATCCTAGGTATCAACCAAGTACCTTCTTAAGATGTACAATGTTCCTATTATTATTATTATTATTATTATTATTATTATTATTATTATTATTATGTTAATCTTTAGTGAGATTCACAGCCTTTGGGGCTGGTTAACAGCTCAGCAGCTCGAGTCCTAACCAAGGACCTAGGAACTGTGAAGGTATCGTCGGAGGATGTAAGCTGTTCCGAGTAAGGTGGTTTTTTGTAAAGTCAAAATGTTCAAGTCTGGTAAATTTAGAATTTCTAAATAGCGGGGTAGCCCTTTGGGTATTGCTCCAAGGGCTCCAATTACAATCGGGACAACACACAATTTCTTTTTCCACAGTCGCTCAACTTCAATTTGCAAGTCCCGATACTTTGTGATTTTTTTCTTGCTGCTTATCTTCAATCCATGTATCACCAGGTATTGCAATGTCAATGAACCATACTTTTTTCTTTTCAACTATTGTTATGTCAGGTGTGTTGTGGACCAAGTGCCTGTCAGTCTGAATCCTAAAGTCCCACAAGATCTTAAGTTTCTCATTCTTAAGCTTCAGAAAAAATGAAGCTCTGCTTGGGGGCTTCTTTTCTGAAGCTCTGTTTGGGGGCTTCTTTTCTGAAGCTTCCTTTCTGATGCTTTTTTCAGCCTCTGAAACCTCTGTTTAAGAAGCTGGGCAGGGCTACATTTGGGGTATAAGACGCACCCAGATTTTCACCCTCTTTTTTTTTTTGGGAAAAAAGGTGCGTCTTATACTCCGAAAAATACGGTACTCAAAATTTCCACTACCGGTTCTCCAGAACCTGCTGAATAGTACCCCTGCCCCAATCCTGCAGCATCTTCAATATCCAAGGATGTTAGATGAAGACCTGGGATCTCTACAGATGGTTTCAGCTGCTATGCTCACATGAAATGAAAACCCACAAATAAGCTTCTTATACCTTCCACCCATTACAAGGGCAGTCCCTAGTTAGACGATACCCAGAGCTGACTTCTCCTGATACAGATACAGATTAACAGAGTTGGAAGGTACCTTGTAGGTCATCTAGTCCAACCCCCTGCCCAAGCAGGAAATCCTACACCATTTCTGACAAATGGCAGTCCAATCTCTTCTTGAAAGCCTCCAGTGATGAAGCTCCCACAACTTCTGAAGGCAACTTCTGTTCCATGGGTTGATTGCTCTCACTGTCAGGAAATTCCTCCTTATTTCCAGGTTGAATCTCTCCTTATTCAGTTTCTATCCGTTATTCCTTTTCTGGACTTCAGGTGTTTTGGGAAATAGCTTGACCTCCTCTCTGTGGCAGCCCCTCAAATATTTGAAAACTGCTATTCTGTTTCCCCTGGTCCTTCTCTTCACTAGACTAGCCAGGCCCAGTTCCTTCAACCGTTCATCGTATGTTTTAGCCTCCAGTCCCCTAATCATCTTGGTTGCTCTTCTCTGCACTCTTTCTAGAGTCTCAAGATCTTCTTTATAGTGTGGTGACCAAAACTGGATGCAGTATTCTAGGTGTGGCCTTATTAAGGCTTTACAGAGTGGTATTACTACCTCCCTTGATCTTGATTGTATCCTGATTGACGGACCTGAAGGGATGGGTAGGGATGGGTAGATGTAGGAAGAAAGGTAGAGAAGATCCCTCAAGTCACCCGGTCGCACACTGTGATTAAGGTGTTGGTTCCCACCTTTAAAGCGCTCCATGGCATAGGGCTGGGATACCTGCGAGACCGCCTGCTGCTACCGATAACCTCCCACCGGCCAGTACGCTCGCACAGAGAGGGCCTCATCAGGGTGCCGTCGGCCAAGCAATGTCGGCCGTCGGCCCCCAGGGGGAAAGCCTTCTTTGTTGGGGCACCCAACCTGTGGAATGAGCTACCTCCTGGAATACGACTGATCCTGGACCTCCGTGCTTTCCGAAAGGCCCTGAAGACTTATTTATTCCAACAAGCTGGCCTAGCTTAAATG